TCCTGCATAAACGGGAATATATATAAATTATAAACTAAATTACACAAAGCGGTTACGTAATCAAATCCAATGGAGGTACAGGCGGCCAAATTTTAAAATTAAAAGCCTCCGCAATAAATACCCGGAGGGTTTGTAGCGGTAAATAATTCCCCAAAATTACTGGCCACAGCACTCATCACTGAACATTAATGGTAACCCGCACTGTTCAGGTCAGCTTGTTTAGCTGCAGGCTTCCGGTCAAGCATCCACGCCATTTGGTACTCCGTCGTGTCACGTTCGTTTGCACTAAACGAAGTATTGCAAATGTGTAACTTAGAAATTGATCCATAATCTCAATAATGTCTGATGAGCATACTTTTATGAATCCTACAGAAATTATATTCTCACATTAAGGAATCTGTGGCCATCAAATATAAGCTGAAGATGCTTCAACTCTAAACAGCTATGCATAGTGTTAGCAGCATAGAGCAACACTTAAGATATTGTAAGATACGCAGACCTGTTGTGTTGATGAGGATAACAATGACATATAATGCAACCTAAACTTTCAGTCGTGATGCGGCATCTGTACTTCTTCATGTTAATGGAAAATTCAGGAAAAATTCATCACCACTATTGGTGATCAAAAACATTGCAGCATTAAGTTTACAGTGCCAGTAACAATGGCATAACAGACAGTAGATTGATAGTAGTAGAGCTGACTAGATTAAGTTCTCATAATCAACACAATCCATGTGTATAATGACACTATACACTGAATGAATGCACTAAGTGACACAGTAAGGAAATTTAAATGAGTGATTGCCTTCTCCACTGCACTGCACTTACAATAATCACGACAACCACCTACGTTTGCCAGCCAAGCAGTCAGCTTAGCAATGGCACAATATTAGTAAAGTTGAGATTTTTTATGCACTGAGTTCATATAACTCTTATTACGCTACACCAAACAGTGCAAATATACATGAAATACACTTAGAAAAAACCTCTTAACTTACGATAATTCCTGTCAAAACACACATACGGTGAGACACATCTAGATGATTACTTCTATTCCCACAGAAGGCTCTGTTAGCATTTACAGGTGATTTCCAAGTACTGATAGAATTCTGTCGTCAAAAAGGACTGTTCTTCACACGAAAATAGGCTGAATTAATATCCTGAGACGTGAAGTCTCAATTTAATGATACCATGCCGAAAGGTGCAGCATCTAAATAAATTACACTATTTGTGTAGATGACATTACCTTTCAACTATCCTATCTTTCTCACTATAGCGATATTTTGCTACAGATCGCTTGAAACACTGATCGTTGCAACCAATATGCTAGGGGGTGTCGCAGTTAGATTACATGACGCGGACACCAAAATAACAGGCCAGAAAATGGGAATTCTCATCAATCCAGACAACAAGTAACACAATTTCATTAAAAATTATTGACAAAAAAAAATTTCCAAGTGAAATTTTAACGGCGGTACTAGAACGTGATATTTAACGTCTACCAACAAATAAATATTATTATTATTTAATGTCAGAAGGGACAGCAGCCACGTAATTTCACCATAAATCAAACTTATGTGATGTGAATAATACTCATCCATGCCTGTAAAACTGGTGTGTCCTACACAGAGAGGAGTGAATATATATACAATGGGCCTGCCAACATCTGTGAACTTTTCACACAGTGGTTTGCGAATTTTAGTTTAGAAACAAACATCCCTGTTGAAACCACACCCGTACTAGCCCTTCCCTCGGGAGCGTCAATATAAAGTAAATCATTATTATTAATAGGGTACATATTTATTCCTACCTATGTAGGTGAAGACACTATGTCAAATAACCAGGTCTCTATCCGGAAAGAGATCAACCCAGATGATGAAACCAATAAAAGATGCTCAAGGAAACCAGATTGACAAGTGGGAGGAACACATAAATCAATGAGCTGATCACTTTAAGGGACTCTTGAATCGACCACCACCTGCAACTCGCCCAGAAATACCACCGACAGCACATACAGTACTGCCTGCCAGTAGACACCAACCCTCCGACGAAAGCAGGAATCTGAATGAAGTCAAGCTACTGAAGTCCGGAAAGGCAGCAGAACCAGGTGGAATTCCCCTACTCTGAAGCACAGAGGATGGACCTGGAGACTGAGGCGTATGTTCTCACGCCAATTGTTGCAAAAGATTTAGAAGGAAGGAAAGGTACCTACCGATTGGAAGGAAGGCTACCTCATCAAGCTGCTAAAGAGTGGCAATCTAGGCCCGTGCAAGAACTGGCGTGGAATCATGCTCTTGTCCACGCCAAGAAAAATACTAAGTCGCATCATCCTAGAGAAAATAGAGGATGCACTGGATAGAGAACTCCGCCAGCCCATAACAAGCTGGTTTCAGTAAAGGCAAATCAAGTGCTGATCAAATTGCAACTCCACACATCGTCATCGAACAAAGCGTAGAATGGCAGTCAAACCTCTACCTCATCTTTACCGACTTTGAAGAGGCCTTCGAAGGCGTTGACCGAAAAGTAGTTTAGAAATTGCTTCAACACTACGGCGTACTTCAATTATTTATTAACCTCATTCAACAGCTATATGACAATGCCACATGACAGGTGATCCACAACGGGACACTCAGCGAGTCGTTTGGAGTGAATGCAGGAGCAAGACAGGGCTGTCTATTATCACCGGTCATATCCCTAATTGTGGTGGACTGTATTATGCGTCAGACTGTGGGGAACGAGGAGAGAGGAGTCCGCTGGACCACTGATAACAAGACTGAAGTAGAGCTGGATTACTCAGATGACATATGTCTAATGTCACGTAAACTCGAAGACTTACAGGCAAAAACCAACAAACCAACTGAAGAGGCTGGGAACGAAGATAGCAATGCAGGTGGACACAGATAAGACGGAGGTGGTGAGGATAACCAACCAACACCAGCAACAACAACCAGCACCAATCACCATCAACGGGGGTGATTTAACGGAGGTTACTTCCTTGACTTATCTAGGAAGTATCGTTTCAATTACAGGTGGAACGGATGAGGATGTCAAAGCATGTCAGAATCGGAGAGGCAAGATACACGTTCACCAACTGAAACCAGTCTGGAAATCGTTTGCACTCAACGTCAGGAAGAAGATTCGGATTTTCAACAGCAATGTGAAGTCGGTTTTTAATACGAGTCAGAAACTTGGCCAGCGTGCGTTGAAAGGGATGTCCAACAGGTCGCAGACTTTGATCAACGGCTGCCTTCGCTCCATATTCAGGACCAAATGGACAGAAAGATTTAGTGGCAATAAACTCTGGCTGGGAACAAGCCGACCAAATGTCTATCGCCTAACAAATATGTATGAGAAATGGAGATTAATCAAGCATACATTGAGGAGGCCTCGAATGACATCTCGCGCCAGTTTTAAATAACCCCTTGGGGTATTCAATATAATAGGTGTTCATAACCCAGCAAATTTTGAGGGAATTCTTCATAACAAAAGCAGACTTTATTAGTGGTGGCATTATTCGTGGTCATAATATCAATTATATGATTTCCTTCCTACTCCGAACAGTTTGGCCAACATAAAGATTATTTTGTGCGTGACATGTTAAAGGGTACACAATTTCCTAGAGAGAGCAATTCTATTCAAATAATAGTATCACACTCGGAAACTTGAGTCACGATGTGGAAAACATTTAAAACTATCTTCATTTTCCTTGCCACCAAATCAGAGCATCAAGTAGGATGAAGAAAATAATTACAGAAGATATGGACAAGATACATTACTGCAGAGTTCTGTTTAATCCCTGAGAGCCGTTCCAAAATGAAGTAATGTATGAGTCATTAATGGAATCTTTTGAGGAGGTGGAAACGCACAGGTATTGAATCGATAGGCATTAAAATAATATTCTGCTCTCCATTATTCAGTCTTTCTGCTCACCTAATGCCAGTTTCTGTAGACTCTTTGTCTATTTGAATGCCTGCAAAAAAGCATTTATAGGTGCCAGCAGCACCAATGTCCAGGTACAAACCATTCACGTCTAAAATGAACTAATGTCCCTGCTCTTTTCGCATCCAGCAAAGCTTTGGCAGTCATGGAGAAAGTTGTAATGGAATCCTCCAAAGATCTGGAGACTTTCTGAAATAGCAATGAGAGAGCTCGCGGAAACGACAGGATTTGCTTTAGGTCATACCTACGTCGAATTTTAGAAATTCTGGAATGACCTTGGGTAGATCCACTAGGTACTGTTTCAGTTTTCAAGGTCCTGTCCGTTGGTAGGCTGTCGTACACGGTGAGATTTTAAAGGTTATGGACTGTTGCGACAATCTAAATAATTACCCTGAGTTATTGAATCCTCTATACCTCTTTCGATTCCATATCTCCTACTTACAAATACACACTGACAACCTTTAAGTGGGCATAGTATTGTGCCAGCTCGATGTGGAAATGATGCTAATGAAATTTGAACATTCTTCCCATGTGGTGATCAAAGGGAGAATAGGTGGCCAAGTAAAACGATTTCCTGCACCAAGTAGTACTTTGTAAGATTTTAGGTATTAGTTGACTAAAATGCTGTTAAGAAAACAATGAATCCGCCTAAACGAAACTTAACAGCATTGCTCAGCTTTATTGTTATGAAGCTGCAGCTTCGGAAAATATCTCAGGAAAAAAGTTCAATCAGAGAATTTTTACTTGATTACGGGTAAATTGGGACAAAACGTAGAATGCCTTCTGTTCCGCTTCTTTAGAAGTGAGAAAAGTTGGCTTTGCTCTAGCGTGGGGAATTAGTCCGTTAAACACGTAGAATAAGTAGGTTTTAATGCTGAATTTTACCTACACATCATCCATTCACTAACATTCCCTAATTGGGTATTTTATCCAGTCAGAATAGCCTTGAGTGATGAGTACTTGTTTACGTTCATTGTGTATTTCAGACCTTCCTAGTACCGCACTGCAGCTCGGAGAAAACAGGAACATGAATCGTCGCCCTACAACACCGCTGCATTTATATGCATACCTTCTCAGAAAAGTACGACTGCTACCACCACATATGCAAGGACACTATAAGCACGAAATCAGACAGGTATGTCCAGCGATATTGCTGACAGTAAATTAGCATTTTAATAGTCATGCAGATGAAAATGATCCACGCCGCATAAATGAGATTATGTCCAAAGCGATACAAGATATGGACTGGATAGTTAAAAAGGTAAGATCTGAAAGTCTCACCGTCTCATAACATTCAGCACACTTGACTTTCACTGTTACAGTAATCCAGTGGTATGAACAAAAAATAAAATTGTTTTAGCAGTGAATTTTTTTTTATCAAAGTATACAGGAGAATATCGCGAGCAAAAATGTTACTCAGAATTCAATAACCGTCGATCAGAGTTGTGCTTAGAAGACAAGCCGCCTGGAACAATAATAAGGGAGATTAGGTGACGTGGTTCAGAGGTGAATTGAAAAGAACCCATTTTCTTATGCCGGCCATACTCAGAATATCTTCCTTTATTGTCTTATAGTATTCTACGACCCATAGTCATATTGTTTCCATATTTTCCTTTACACTATTTGCAAATGCATTGCAAGAAAATGCAGAACCATATGCTACTACTACTCATCTGATGTGCATCAGAACATATATTTTAGTGTGTAGTCAGTTCCTGGATACATGAAGTACTGCTTTTAAATATAGCTTGTTCACTGGAGAACGTGGTGGAATTAATACATCGTATAAATTTAGGACTCAGAACTTTGTACTTTTCAGTAGTTCGTCCACTCATAGTCAAAAGCATTCATAGTAACTTATAGGATGTTTATTTTCCAGGGACTTGTCCTTTATTTCCGAAATTCAGAACGTATTTATTACTCATCGAGTTACTCTGTCCCCTTAATTTCTTGAGTTGTCTGTGCTGAACAGTGGTAAATTGAATACCTGTCACTCTTTAAAGGGATCAAACTTCTGTTGTACAACTCTAAAGGAACACTTGCAGAGCTACAGTTAAGGGTACTGGGTTTTTGTTAAGAGATATATTTTACCTCAGCTTTTGCGTTACCCCCTCAGAAGGCTATAATCCTTCGCAGAGAAGTCTGTAAAAGTAATTATTTGTCTAGATTTCCAATAAAATGCTTCAAATAAAATGTTCTAAGGACTTAAGTACTTTAGAAGAGTTGCTCTGAGATTCTTTTCAAACTAATCTCAAACTATAATTTGTTTTTCGCTACACAGGAATAATAAACTCGTTGCTGTGTTCTGTAATTATCATTCTTTAACTGGAAACAAAATAATATTTTCTACAGTTTCATCAAGATACCCGCACGGTTTTTAGGAGTAGAGCTCTTTTATTTATTTGTTTCAAGAGTTTTGGATTCTCTTTGAAAGTCTAACATGTATCAAATCATGTGGCTTATTGATTTAGGTACTCAAATTCTAGCCAAAGAGTTTCAGGCCCGTATCCTGCACCACCTACTCCGTTGTGGTCAACAGCGTAGTAGCTTAAACAGCCCCATATATCGAATGCGAATCTTGTACCATCTCACGAAATTGAAAATTGAGTTCTTTATATAAGTTAGTTTTTGGGGTTATCACTTTCTTTGACCATGTCCTGTACATTTGAAAGAAGTTTGAGTTATCCACCGAAAAATATCTCGCTTCAGCTTTTGTCGAGTTTCAGTGACCTGCAAATGTAATTATGTCGAATACTGCGAACTGCATACCTGACACATTGCAAAGAATTCAGTACATTTAACTAATCAATCCAGTGAAGTCAGAATAATTAAGATATTTTTAAATGAATCGAGGAAGAGTCACTTTATAAAAATGGTCTTATCGGTAAATACGTTGTTTAAAAAGTTTTTCATCTGAATGTCATTCGTTGGCTTAATCTTCAAGATTAGACTTAAAGTACACAAAGTTTTAAAGCAATTAGAAATACGGGTACTGAAATACGTGAGGTAAGTAGTTTAGAGACTGGGGTTAAATTAAAGAGACGGAACTGATCATCAGCTCATTTCTTCAACTTCGTGTATTCTTGTGAGAGTGGATATATCTTCCAAATTGTCTTCTTATGAATGAACAACAAAGCTAAGAAAAAGGCACAAATCAGGTAGCAGATACTTGGTCCAAAGATCCAGAAAGCAATGGTCACGAATGCTGCACCAAGTACACGAGCCAATGCATTCAATGAACGAAAAATTCCCAAAGTATGTCCCTGAAATTCAAACAGAATAGGAGGAATCACCTGATAGTACTCATTCAAGGTAGTTTTTATAAATCATTAAACCAGTGAAAGTCGCTGCTAACTTCGTATCTACAAATGGCTTAACCAGGGAAAGGTAGCAGCGTAAAGTCATTAAGTCAGATTTCATTGTTGTTTCTTTCAATTTGTTTTAAATCTGTGGTATTCTTACCTACATTATGACAAAACGAAAGGCAAGTTGTATCCAAACATATATTTAACAGGTCCATTATGTATCCGGCAAATTAAAATTTATCCTCTAGGGCCTAACAGGTGTTTTGCACTAAATTTAGATGTATTTATGTGGCTGAGAAACCACTTACAAACTGTTTCACTATATAATACACAGTACAGAAGTTTGTGGTTTGGTTTATTGTTTTACACACTCGACTTTCAGTCGATAGGTCCAAGTTTCAAATTGCGCTCCACCCTGCTTCAGACTAGTAAACTAGATAGTAGCAACCCTTGCATAATAAGTGCGACCTATAGACTAGTACATCAGAAATCCGTTCCAAATTATCATGACTGATATTAATACTTGGCTCGCCGGTCTTTGGTGGATTCCAAATCCAAAATATGGTTAAAATTTATCTGTCAGTGAGTCACATAAGGGTCACCGCTCAAGCGTCTATGAAACTGATTATAAATTTAAAATGACAGTGTGAATGTGCAGCTTTCAGAAATGATGTATTTAAAAATGTAGCTAATTCCTGATTTCTTTGTGACTTCAGACATCAGCTAATATAAAACATGTTTAACAACATAATATAGTTTGTTCGCGCATAAGTAAGGGAAGTTATGATACCATTTGATTGCCCAGATTCGAAGAGGCAAAGCAACTTAAAACGGGGACTAATCGAATGAAATTCAACAAGACAGTAATTTGCAGCTAGAAACACTTACGACATTATCGCTTGAGTCAGTCTCAGAGTTAAAATGAAATAGCTAGATATTAACTTTTCCAAAATTAAAACCATACATTGAAACTAGTCACTTTAGGACACGTACACAACGTACCGTTTACATGCTATAGGCAAAATAGTAATAAACATACTTGTTGTTCAGTAGTAGTATACAGAGAAACTAAGCCATTCACGCTTGGGAAGAAAATGGAAGAAGCAAATGCATATGACGCTAGTCCAATATAGAACATGAAGAGACTTGTAGACAAACTGAAAATGCTGGATGCCAGAATAAGAGAACATATACCCTATAAGCAATAAGAATAAAGCAAATGAGTTAATTCGAAATGGTGAATAAAACAGAAATAAGATTCAATAAGCTTGTTACCGTAAAATGTGGAGTTCATGATCTAACAAATAAACCTATCCTTATTTTCGATTAGTAATATCTGTGAATACCAACGTTTGAGGCACACGTTTGTACACATTTAGAAAACAACACACTGAATGCGAAAATATTCCTGGTTGATTGGCTTTTCACCAACGAATATAAACCCACACACCCGAATTTTTTAACAATACGTAATATACTACACTAGTGACACTTTAATACATAACAATTCACTAGTCAATTAGCAAGTGATTGGTAGTCAGCTGAAGAAATTTTGATGGCTGTTAAGCAATAAAATAATTAGTATTGAGGTGAATAAACTTAACATATGCGTAAGAAGAAAGTTTAATTCATTTTCGAACAAGCACTTAGCTAAATGGTTTCAGAAAACTGTAATATTCACAGTCCTAGTAGAAACTGATCAGAAGAAAACATGCTAGATCTTGTTCAGTGTTCACAAGGCACAGACACCGGTAATAAATAATGCTATTCAAGGTATAATTTGATTATTGCATGTAATGTGGCCTAAGGTACGATCACTTCATCTCTAAAGTGGCGCTATGCAACACTATCTATTAGCTGCAAGTTACTTGTAGACATACCGGAAGTTATTCCATGGAGAACAGAAATGCAACAACAGATTGGAAAAATTTAGTGTCTGACTAACTAGTAGCCTTGATTCCTGATATGGAGAGCCTGGTCCACAGATGAAGAATACAACAGAGTGTTAGTAATTTTTGCGAAAACGAGTATATCCGTCATCTCTAGACACTCATACTTCTTCTGATCAAATTAGCAATAAGGAGTCGTTATACGTCCAGTCTAGAACAGAGGTGATTAGAAGTAAATATGTGCTGTAATTTCAGACAGTTTATGCGAAACACAATTGGCCATCGAACAGCTTTTGTTAGGCCACGAATTTCTGCTTTAACAAAGCCTAACAGACTAGACATTGCACTCTGAGTAAAAAACTTTATTCTTCTTATATCAGTTGGCCAGCAGATATTCTGCTTTCCACACCTGGATTGTGTGTCACATATGTTGCTAGTAAAGATAATGCTATAATATCAATAAGATTTTTGTACTCTGCAAATTTTTGTAAAGCAGTGAGAAGGCAAAAGGGCACATCATTTAAGTCACATCTTTAAAGAATCATGAGACAATTGTATCATGTATTTAAAGAAATTCTACTGTCAGATAATTGAGAAAAACCTTGTTTACAGATGTACTTCACTCGCCTGAACAATAGACTTCCAATTTACAAGATTATGTGTTTGAACGTCTCTCTAGTTCCTTAGCTCTGAAAAGTCGAGCGCTATACCAGAATGTTGCCGATAACTCAGTGCATATTTGTGAGCTTTCAAAAATTGTTGGTGTGTGAAACAATACAGAATATGAACCATTTTGGTTATAAACTAGACATCTTGAACAAATTACTCATTTTTCTTTACGTGGTTTTTTAGATACACTTACGATATGCACTAGCACTTGTGCGAGGGAGATCATTCTTTTGTACCCATGTAATGTAAATAAGAAATAAACTCGAGAAAAACAAGACCTTAGATAGATACTGTGAAGTTAGAAAACAATTGGTATACGCAGTGGACTTACATAAGTAATTGCATTATCTTCTCCACCAAGTCTAAAACGACGGATGAACCCACCTGTTTTTAGAAAAAAACATTGATACAGCTAGGGTAGGTAGGACAAAACCATGCATATATTATTGTAATAATAACGCCTTGCATTTTTTTAGAATGATATTTTTCAGAGCACAGCAACTCAGTTGTCGTTGTTGTGCAATAATAAAGCTAGGTGTTTAATGTCTTTCTTACCATATCTCATAGACAACTTGTTGATAAAAAAGATATTAAGAAGTAATCAGACTTATGGAATCTACGGTGAGATTATCTAGGATATTTTTGAGTTGGCAGACTGTCATTGATGTAATCAACTGAGCTATGAGACCCAATGGCTAACCAAGTGTGCATAACATTGACAGGGGTTGTATGAGCCGAGGAAAAATAAAAACTATTACGAGGTCTACATGCACATACATGTGGTTGAGACAGGTAGGATTATTGCCACAAAGACGATATTTTGATGCATTAATCAGATTTCTGACAGTTTTTTTATTCTTAGTTTTTAACTGGTAGTGACTTAATTATGCACTCAAAAGTCTCAGTTCAATTGTTTATAACGGCGCAATTATTTAAGATTTTTAATATGAAACTACTAACATTACTCGATAAGATGGCTGAGACTAACCTTATGTATACCAAGCCAATACCTTTATCGATGAGCAACATTGGATGAATCATGATTATGTTGGAAAAGAGTAATAACTAGCAAAACATGAGGTCAGTCCGTTGGTGACCTTCTATACATGCAGACTTTTCGACAAATAAATATATTATACTGTAGTGCTTTATGACAAAATAACTGAAGTGCAAAAGACTGCTAGATAGGTTTTCTTAGTAATTAAACTGCCAATTATGTAAAAAAAAACTTAAGATAAAATTTGATGACTGTTATTCAACTAGTAATATGAATAAACGTTGAACTGTAACGCTCAAAAACAATCTCTTTAAAGCAAAAAATAGTTTTGCTTTCCGTGAGTTTTATATTTGCCTGTCATTCCATGACGAATACTGCATTTATGTAACAACATCATTGTCTATGGTAAGAAGAGAACTTCGACACTGCGGTAGTATGTGATTCCATGGTAATTTGTTTGTTGAGTATATCACAGTGAGACAGTATTGTCACTGTGTGATACATTCAATGAACAAACTAAGATAGAATTACATACTGTGGCGTGTGCTACTGATAAGATATACCAGTAGTATATATGTGTTCATCAGCACAAAACATCAAATAGCAGGGAGATACATTTGATGTCAGAGAAAGCAAATGATACAGCGTTGTAGAGATACATGGAAGACGTGAAAGGAACACAAAGAAACAAAATATGAAGGCCAGAAGTAGCACAACAAGGAAGATCTGTGCAAACAATGCACTGAAGATAGGGTGTACATACTTTGGCTATATAGACACATCAAATTCTAAATAAACATTCTTTGACTTCTTGTATCAAGAAACTCGATAAATTAATAGGAGGAAATCTCTATCTGAGAACAATAAGACCAGCAATAAGACATCATAGACGACCGATGAATTAAAGCGAGTAATCAGTATCTCAGCAAAGGTCTTAAGTTCTACAGAAACAAATGTGTTGGAAAAAGGACTATATTTTAGTGTAGCAGCTGTAACCCGAGAATATTATTCTGGAAATAGAAACAGCATTAAATGTGGTAGACAATACAACTGTAGATGAAGTAGGACAAAAATGTGCACTTACACTAGAACATAAGAAGAGAAGGAAACAGAGTGCAAGCAGAAGTAGAAGGCTTAGGCAACCTTAAGAATAAAAAGGATATAGCAATTGATAATCCAAATAAAGGCAGTTCCACGGTGGTATTAGACAAATCGAACTTCTTGGTTAAGGTTAGTGCTCATATATAAACAGGACCATATGGAGAAATTAAGAAACCAGTAGAAACTCATGAATTCAGTTAAGAAACACATAGTGGACCTCGTACACTAAATGAAACCTTTTCTAGGTAGGTCTAAATGGATTAGATTAATGTCCAGAACTAATGACTGCAGTAGAATGTATGGGGCTGTCAAACTCCATAAACCAAGATATCTCATTGTACCCGCAGTTTAGTTTCGAAATTATCCAACTTATGAATTGTTTAAATATTTGTCCGTGATAATAAGTCCTCTTACAAACCGTCCAAAATCTAGACTTACTAATTCTTATGAGCTCAAACATAAATTGGATAATTTGCAATTAAATGACGAAGAAAAATGACTAGTTTGGATATCAGCGGCCTATATACATGAATACAAATAAACACGGTTGTAGAAGCGGTTGGTGACAAACATATTTATGCACAAGAACTTAGATTTAGTACCAGGTGCAGTTAATCCTGACTTCTGTAGTGTATAAGTTTCAAAGAAAAACATGGTCACTGATACCTCCATTTTTGACAGATATATTTCTCGATAGATGCCAAAAGTTAGCTACTGAAACGTTGATTTCCACCTCTAAAGTATGGTGGGGGTATGTAAATGACACATTCGCAGTATCAAAAACACAAGATATGAATCCTTTAAGACACAAATTCAACGGTAGACGCAATTCAGTTAACTTGAGTTAGAAAGTTACGAAGAGAAGCTCCGAACGTTCAGTTACGTTATGAAAAGGAAATCAGATGAGAATTTCAATCCAAGTATTTACTGAAAACCCACACATTCAAACGGATATTTGAATTCCAGTTCATTCCACCACTCCATGTCAGTAAAAATAAGATTGTTGAAATGTTTAAGTAATAAGTAAAAGCAGCTAAGTAGTGCAAAGGAAAATCTATGGCAGAAAGTAAGACATAATAGAAGCTTCAGCACTTAATAATTACTGGGACAAATTAATCAGCAAGTATGTAAGAGACGATAAGAATATAAACAAAAGAAAAAAATATGAGTGATATAAACAACAAACGTAGGCAGAAAGATGATAACATCAAGTAGATGGAATTTAAAACATCACTAGTGCTGCCATATAAACAGGTAACCTCTGAAACGTCACGTAGGATTACTAGCAGGGAAAAGTGGAAATGACTTACAAACCTATAAACTCATTTCGAAAGAAATTACGTCGGTTAAAGGAGTTCGGGGAACCAACTTAACAAAATCATTAAGTTTATCTAGTGTACCCTGCAATGATTGTCAGGTCAGAAACATACATCAGATAAGTGGGCAGGATCAGTAAGATCAGCAGAGCACAAAACGGGACGAAATATGGAATAACAGACCCTAATAAAATTTTTAAAAATCTAGAGAAATGCGTGGCTATAACACTAAATGCAGTTACAGACAGTGAATACATAACATCACGATGTGACAAGGTAACAGTCTTAAAATGTAATATAACAGGGTGGAGGAAGAGATTGATAACTAAGGTTTTATTTATCGAAGCAACTAAGAATACGTGGAATAAGGACGATTCAGACTCTGTCCCGGATTTCTAGAAAAATCTAATACCCTTAAAACAAATGAAAAAGAAGAACTATACAAATCGAGTTCCGAAGTTGTGCGGTTACAATCGATATGATTATGAACAATAAATTGTGTTCGAAAGGTCATCCGGTAAACATTACTGTGGTACAGTATTATTTATTGAATTTTGTTTTACTACCACTGTGTCATTTACCAAATAAATACGTAATATGAAATTAAGCCGTTTCATCAAACATAGTCGATTATCAACTATAGCTATATCTATATAGTTTCACCAAGCTACAATTCACTAAATTTTCATACTGTTTCACTGGAAACTGCAAAAATATCTGACTTATATTCAGTTATAAAATATCGTAAACAATTTAGTGATGAACTGCTAATTTCACTTAATATAAACATTTTAAGTGAACTTTTTTTGACAAATACTTCTGATTCATCAAAAGAAAAATATGTGGGTTACGTTTCCTATATCTGTCTGTTTGTTTACAACATAGAACTTTGCACCGATGTGTAGCAGTTCAAGTCACCACACTCCATGTAGCACATAAAGAAAGAGAAGAAATGCATAACAGAGACAGTAGACAGGGATATGAGACAAAAGGAATAGTAATAACGAAGAACAATATAGTTTCATTGGAAATTATAAGTCACAAGGAGTGGATACATCTGCACCAGCCATAGAGAGCGATTTTGAGCCATATCACCAATTGTCTACAGCGACTGGTTTTTACCGTCCCGAGGACCCCAATCAGGAAGCCAGTCTACACCTCCCTACGTCGCTCAAACTGACTGTTGTGGATTTCATTGACTAGTGCCATGTTTTGGTTTGACCGCCGCTAGCTCTTTTCCAGCCTGACCCTATGTCAGCTAACGCTGCTCACTGAACAAGACTATGCCTAGACATACGTAACACATGTCCTAACCATGTCAGTAGGTGCAACTTAAAAGCCTCGTTGATTGATTTCCCCTCCTTACCTAGCACTCGACGCATAACCTCAATATTGCTTACCCCATTATACCACTTCACATGGGAGATAGAACGCAGGCACCTATGATCAAAGACAGCTAGCCTTTTCATGTCCTCCACTCTCAATGGCCAGGTCTCACAGCCATAAAGGAGGACAGAAAGAACTGCTGAACAGTACACACCTTTTGGTCGATATGCGGCCGGATATCACATCTACGTCAGAGACGGCGTAAACTGGCGTGTGCGAACCGAGCCTTCTATATTCGAGCTGAGATTTCGTCAGTGATCAACTCGTTGGGGCTGGTGCAACTTCCCAAATAAGTGAAGCGGTCAACGTGCTCTACCAATTCACTCCCTATTTCTAAGCTAGGAGTCAGTGTAGTCCAGTCCTATATATATATATATATATATATATATATATATATATATATATATATACTGTCAGGAACCGAAATAAGCAGCACCCAATTGTTATTTTTTTAATTCGCCATCCAGTTATAAAAGTTTATCACTTGTTCAGTCTGTGTAGTATTCGAAATATCGTGCCGACGTACCAAAGTGTTATTTTCCGACGAATTTGATACGCTTTTGCTTGCCTTCATTACGAGTCCTCAGAAGTTAGTTCACAATGAATCATCATTTGGACAACTTATACAGTTATGTTTAGCTCTAAAAGTACGATCGAGACAATCTACAGTGAAAGGACTCGGCTGGTCAAGATTCTCTTATTGGCACAAAGGTATTCACAGTTTGTAATTTCGAAACATGCTGAACACTCATCAATTTGCAGAGAATTAATGTCTCCTATACTCACATTTGACCTTGTAGTATTATTACATTGTGGTTTCTATTTTTTGAGATTTTACAGAGCGTGGTTACTTCAAAAAACAAATTTATTAGCACAAATTTATTACACTGATCTATCAGTCAGTTCTCATTAACTACACATAAACATGATCGTACGAAACGTATCGAGTATAAAATGACAGTTATATCATACTTCATATGCTTCTGAAAAGCTGTAGCTTGTAAGTATATTATGTTTCTTAAAACCAATATTTAAACATTCTATTCAGTTGATTCATCCTCTTGTAAGTGCCGATGTCAACCTCTAGATAGTCCTTAACGTCAGCACCTACTAAACTTGCCTTCCTCGGTTAACCCTGATCAGTACCCTACCTAACGTTTAAGTACCGATGAACGAACTCGATGTAAAAAGGCTTGTGACTTAGTAGTGTGCCCAGATGAGAATTATAATTTTACCTTAGATTAAATGTCAAATTTAATAAATAAGAATACCGTACAACTTATCTGTTAAATGGCTGGGGTGGGAAGCTCGAAGAGTGCGCCTAATGATAGCACAACGAGAGAGCAAGCTACGTGCAAGCGCTGACGCCGGAAGAACAGTGATGTGGCGCCACAATATGTGAATGCGTTAAAACAAAAGTTCAAATATTCCAGGTGCACTACACTCTCTAGACCGATATGAAGTTACTACGATTCGCATTTATGTTAATACCCCATTAAAATAGAATGTATAAGTTCAATCCTACTCTTGGAGTTCGTAACACAAGATTACTGTCGAAAGGCGCTACTTTATATCTAACTGGTGAGTTTATTTACTCACTCATGGTTTAACACTTTGTTGAGTAAATCGATAAGCAACTTTTATCTGAAAATGGATAAATTGTGCTTTTTAACTATCACATTTCGAATTCATACAACTACTACATGTACACCTATTTCAACTGGAAAAAGTACTGAATATTAAGCCGGAGATTTTGTAACACTTTAAAGAAGATACCTCTTTGTTCCATCTTATTTTTCTTTAAATTTACATGCTTTAAGTGTGAAAGATACTGACTTTCTTTTTGGTGAAATACTTTTATTAAGAACAGAATATTAAGGCCATAGTACACTGATAAGAACCCACTTAATATGTCTCTAAAAGTCCTGCAAATTCTACAGTAAATTTTAATTTTTGTTCATGTAACATATAACTTTGCGCCTTCTATATACTATAATTTTTCGGTCAGGCTAATTTTCCAGGCTTCAACGGCACACATGATAGATGTATAATTTTATTTAAACACTCCCGACAGCATATGTTAAATGAGTCACAAAAGTTCAAAAAAACCAATGTAAAATCTATTGATGTTCCACTTAATCACTTACAAAAATGATGACACTCTCAATAACAATAAAACCATGAAGTTTATAAAGTTAACAAAAGTTAAATGTAAGCGCAAAGAAAAGATACAAAAAATAGATACATGGAACAATATACAACATAATCACACAACTCTTCTTAATAGGAAAATTCTTTTGAGACTTACCTTGAACTACCATCATCAGTATGCCAACAAAACCAAACATTTTGCTTTGATCTGCACTGGAAAAATAAAAAGAGTAAAAGGTCAGGGTAAGAAAAACAACAACGAAGTTATAGGTAAGACTTCCTTCCACAACACAAGGTTACAATTTTAATAATAAATATAACACCTAAAGGCACGAGATGTTTTTTAAATAAGTCAGACATCAACTTGGTATAAAAACTGACTATTTTTAGCGAAAAATTGTCCAAGTTAAACAAACATTATATTTAAAAGTTAATCCGAAAGAAGTTGGAAATTCAAACAGTTGTTCAGCATTAAAACTGATATGGATTGACTGGAGGCTCATTTACCTCACCAATCAATAATGTGCGTGAACGCCTTTGATTGGTCAATATGTACGTATATAATATTGGGTTGTGTGGCAAGACAGTCCTCCTGAAAATGTTTTGTGAGATGTTACAGACGTTTGCCTTCCGAAGCTTCGTCACTTTTGGATAACATTTTATGAAACATAATTTTGATGGGAGCTATCTGCTTAATGAGCTTAAACATTTGATATATATTATTTTTGCTGAGGCCCTTTCTTATTTCCAATTCAGTTTTCCTTCGATTACAACCTATTTCATAACAGCACTTATCAACTGATCCTAAAATGATTTTACTAAACGCTTCAACTGTAAACCATCTTTATTTTTTATACACAAGCAGCTGAGAGGTATAATAAACAGAAATGAACTGAAACAGAATCAGGCGAAGTTAAAGCATTTCTTAATAGTATGCAATAGTATAGGGTTAATTTATATTTTAATACTGGAGTTAAGTTTTAGAAATTAAATTACTGACACTGAATAGTACCTAGCAGACAGAAAATCAATATGAAGTGTAGTCTTATTGTTTGTTTTTTTCGCTGTCGATAAAATTCTACTAACCTACTTAGATGACGATTATGACAATCATAGAATGTAATTTTATATCTTCATCTTTTTTGTATACAAGTAACAATGCTTATCTCAATAAAATATAAGAAATATTTACTAACCTTGTGAAATTAAACCGCACTCGAGCTAAGAATATTAGCGTATATTCTATACCACAGAATACGCACAAATAAGCGAACCAGAAACATGCTAAGCGATGTAATGACCTGTCATCTGAAGGCATAGATCGAAGAAAGTATGTTTTACTCATCACACACACATACACAAGCCTATATATAGTAAGCTAGAAATCATGAGTAGTATTTGAAAGGTGAAAGGTGCTGTTCACAATGCTTACCGAAATAGAACTGTACACTAACATTCAAATCTGAGCGTAATCATTGATATACAATCAACTTACAACAGATGGATTACAGTTATGAAAACCACTCCAGTCAGTGTGCTATACAATAGATGTGACTCACTATCTGGCGCATAAACTTGAGCACAGTTGCTGAGTTGTACTAACTTAAACAATGATAGTAGAATCAGTGGCTCGATTGAAGTGAACTTAACGTCAAGATTCCTAAGTCATAATTTCTGACGAAGTACAGTCAAACAAATCCCTACGGGATACAACAAAGTATGTCGTTTTCGTCCATTAACTGTTGATTACTTTCACCTTACCCTATTACTCCTAACGGTATTGCAACAACAAAAAATCATCTAATTCTGATGAAATATATCAATTAAACAAGTAGACGCAAATCTGGAACAGTACGGGAACTAAATCAAACTACAAAATAAGGAAAAGGGAGATAAAATGGCCGAAGTACAATACAGTGGGGAAACATACGCATCGAATACACTAGAAATAACATTCAATAGTTTATATTACTTTTGGAAGAAGAAACAAGTTGAAACCTCATTAGAAAATGGATATCCACCTAGATTTACTAACCGCAAGATGATGGGAAGAACTGTCACCACTGAAAATCCTTACTGTCGCCAAGAAATCTTCCTTTATGAGGCTGGAGTTAAGAGTTAACACGGAAACCATGACTCTTAAAAACCATGTTTTCAATTATCTGTAAAAGACATACGATACATCTATCTGAAGAATAACACTCCAGGGTATGTGCTAAGGACAGAATACCACTTCTGTTCACTTCAGTGTTTATTTATCCACTTGTTCCTGTGAAGTAAAGTACTTCAGCCGTACACAGCCACAACTCCATGAGCATATTCTAGAAAACTGTCCAGCTTAGTTACTCAGAAGTAAACAGAAAAATATCAGTAGTTTTACGCTCGAGCACCTTGTCAACTCTGTATAACTGCTCCACACTGACCCATAGATTTTCCCAATATCTTACAACATGACTTTAAATGTGCCGTTCGGACGAAATCAAATCACTTGCTATTCGGATCATTAACCCGACCTCTGTGTATAAAAACAACACATGCACTCACCCGCCCTACCATGGCAAAAGCAATATTTTCACCGTAATCCTGTTTCATTTTGCTGTTTGATGTATAGTCTTTTTTATTTATCAACATTATTATTTTATAAATAACTCTATATTTCTCATGAACATTTCATTTAAATACTACCATCTTTCCCACTGACCTGACTACTCAGGTTGATTAGGTCATTTTTATGCATGTTACATAACCACCAGAAATTATCCCTCACTTCAAGTGAAACATTTTTGCGAACATAGGAGCTGGTATTTGAATAATTTTGTGAGTTCTCCGCTGGATTTAAATATGACTGTACAGCTTTTGAAAGTAATTCGTTAAAAATAAAAATTTTCCGTTCATTTTATGCCTAACGTGAACATGAATTGCTATACTGTTCTGCATGTCTTACCGAAATGAACAAAGCAATGTGGTTCAAAAATGATAATCCCTCTCCCAAGTTTGTTTTTTCTGAGATCCACATGGTTTCTACATGATCATGAACCTTAAGATCCTGGACACTATTGTAAGTCAATCTAATAACAATGTAGTTATCACAGTAACACGACCTGTTTCTTATGAACTGTGATGACCAGCAATCTACACGTTTGATGCAACTAACTAGAATCTCCACGCATTATTATAAACTGGATGTGGTCCCAGATATCTTTGGGATACGACAAAATTGCAGTCAACCCTGTCATTCGATTTGAACTAAGGTTTGGAGATATAGGGTGTGCCAACTAGGACCACTATGCAGTAATGTTACATTCCATGTTAATACTATCTGCCTACTTATAAGGCTGTATGTAAACTTGAATTTCCAGAGATAGTTCAACTGGATAAGACAAGCAAAAAAATTTAGTCTGTACAAAAGATAATCGCATGAAACCATGAATTTTCAACTTACCTCTAGGATTTCTTGTTGTACCGGAGAAAGAGAATAACTTCACTGGATTAACAAGGTGAAGCGCTTGAGTTAGTGACTGATTGAAATCGCCACGCTGTAAAAGAAATACAAAACATTCAAGAAAAATAATAAATCGGAAGTGAGTGCTGGTGAATTCGTTGAACTGCAATCCCAGTTAAAAAGTGGTTTGCTGTATAACTCGTTATAACTGTGTGCTCAGCACACAAATTATAACTTTGTCTGTTATGATCTACTATTATCACTAAATCCAAGGAATGCCACGTGACATACGCATCAATTGTTTCTTCATTTTGTATGAAGCTCACAAAAATGCTCTTCAATCTAAAAGTGAAATGTTCACTACGAAACTCTATTCATAAAAGGTCGAATGTTGAAAATAACTATATGAGACCTCCAGTATTACAAGGTATGACAGACCAAAAATATGTTTTACTTATAAAAGTGAATTGTAATTCATACCTTTTGCAGTGGAGTTGGAAGAATAAGGAGTAAAATTAGTAGATTTATGCAGTTAATGAATACACAAGTGCAACCAAGTACAAAGCTCAAGTGTTCTGGTGTTATAGATGTGTTCCATCGACTAAGTAGAATAACTGAACATGGAGGTCCTACAGTAAAACCAATACCATAAGCCAATCCGACAACGGCCATTCCTTTGGTACGTAGTGCATTGCTGCTGATGTCGCTAACAAGTGCTGAAATAACACCAACATTTGCTCGTGCAGCACCACATAGTATACGAGATATCAGTAACCATAAAAATGATTTACCAAAGCATAACCAAAGGATATTAACGAGCAGAAGAAAAACCTGTGGAAGGGAAATAAAGTGGACAAATCTTAAATATTACCAAAAATGATACGGTAACTTATGAAAAGTATACACATAATGGTTCATAAAATTAATCTGCAAACCTATTCATCACTATCTACTATGTCACCATTAACTTAATTGCATTATCTTTTCATTGTGAAGTAATTACCAGTAAGTAATAAAAAAAGGAGGAAAACAGTAAAATATGCAAGAATTTAAAATGTGAGTCAATAATTAGATACAAGTGGACAAAGTAATCAGTGGTAACACCTGCTACATGAGGGCTTACAGTGACATTTAGTTGTATAGACACTTTGACATTTGAAAGAATAATCCATAAGTATGGAGTGAAGTGTCTAAAACAACCGATTACTGTCTAAATAGGATATCAGTTACATTAACTAATTAACTTCACCGTTGTTTTTTTTGTTTAAACACCACCTAACTCCACCACCTCCGATAGTCAAGGGATACACTGAATATTCCCTTTATTTATGTATTTAACAATCATTGTATAACCACGACCGAATGTACTAGTCACACAGAATTGTTATTGCATTCCGTTTATATCACACGACCACATTTGCATGCATGAACATGAATGGATTCTTCTTTACATACTGTCGCTCAATAATTTCATTCCAAATGAAATTTCAATAGTCCTGTGGTGTGCGTATCCAGGATGGCAATTAATTTAATAAGAAAAAACTGAGTTGAGAGCATGAAAAAGTATTAAGTGGAGGATATAGAAAATCGTATTCAGAAAGATTTGTAATAAATTAAGCAGAGAGCATGAAGAGAAAATGTCTTCCACATGTATGGAATTATAATTTTCGAAAAACTTAAATAAAACGGACCATTACTAATAACTACAACTTGATGCTTCATAAAAGAACCCATAATTTTGAATAATATAAGAGCAAACATCGAAAAATGTTTCAATTGCAATTCTACTGAATATTACAAAAATATGTACCATGTACACAAGTTTCGAAAAGCAGTTGCTAAGAGATCTTGAAGAATTGGATAATGAATAAATTAGTCTCTTAGGTCAACTTGAATTAATTTCTGTCTCGATGAGTGTCTAAATTGGAAAGCCCATAACTCAAAAGGATATAAGAATATCCAACTGATAAGTCTTAAGAATGACCAAACATACATCATAGATTCCAATGATATCTACCATCGAAATAGATAAGTAACTGGACAGATTTTGCTTGGTACCTATTAATATTTACAAATATGTGGTTGTTCGTGATTTTACACAATATTCTGTGACAAGATCCATTCCAAAGATGTCTAAGGAATACATCGGGATATAAGCCTGACTAGAGGTGATCGTGTCAGTAAACTAACTCACTTGTACAACTATTACAATTAACCTCACTTTTCCGGCAGCGACTTTGTATACAGCCTATTTGAGGTATTTGATTCGTATTTAGGAACTTGACACCTATTTTGGTAAGTAGTTTTCTCGTTAAATAACATTTATAAATCTAAAACTTTTCAATTTTTTGAGATTTTTATGGCTTCTTTAGAACAAACATATAGTGGATATTTCTTAATTCTTATAATTTTCCACTGATTTCACTAATCTAACTGATCGATCTCCATTGAGATGCTTTGAAATTGCATTGAGCTTTCTTAACATTATTTTTAGTAGGAACCAAGACGTGTGTTTGACGCATATTCGTCCTAAACGGGATGAAATTTGAGTTCTAGACTCCATAGCCATTGACAACCAGAAAACAACAATATGATCATCATCAATTGTATCTAAATTAATTTATGTCATGTTCCTGTAGTGGTACTTCCATGGAGGAAGCGAACTTTTGAGTATTCCTGCAGATATCGAGAAACCTGTGAGTAATTTCTTTTTCAGAAATCCTGGGGGGAGATTTTGCAGTCGATTTCGGACAAATAAGATTTGTATCTCCGAATAACAAGTACACTACTTTGCTGAAGAAACCAGTAAAGCCAACACACAGACTCTATCATGGCGTATCTCACAGTACTGACTAACTAAACTAGTTGAATTTGATTTTTCTTTTTTCCGCTTTTTTCATTCCTTTACGTTCCGAGTGAAAGATAAGGCAATGAAGTTGTTTTTACGGGATGGGTTTGCTAGCCCTCTCTTTTCCCCCGGCTTACTATCGGCCAGTAAACTAGGCGAGGTTTCAGAGTGCGTTGGCTGAGAATTGAGCCCAGACCACGAGCGTGATAGACGAGCGTTCTACCACTGAACCCACAACGCAGGACTACAATACAGCTTTTCGTCACAGATTTAATCCGAGTAGTTACAGTGTTTAGAAACGAATGGTCGAAGTACCATCACTCAAAAAATGTATGCTGATTGAGTACAATCTAAAAATTCATAGTCTATTCGTCAACAAAAATCATTATGAAATGTATCAGGTATATGTATATATATCTGATACATATATATATATATATATGAGTCGAACAGAATACAAATTGGTAGGGATTAGTGAAAAGCAAGTAACTACTGTTGAAACTTTTAATACTTATTGTTTACTTTATATTTGTATTATTATAATAACAATTATCAACAGACCTGAAGCACTACTAAAACTGACTTTCTTCCAAAAAGGTCCGACAAAGCGCCTGCAAAGGGTGATGAAAGAAATTGTGCCAATGACGAAGATGACGATAGAATACCTACGTGAAAAACTAGTTGAATTGCATTGTTTAACATACCTCCAAGGAAAACTGTATCCCATAGGGAGTTTTCTTGAACCCCCAGTATCAAACCAAGCTGTTGGATGTACCGCCTACACAAAATATAAAACCATTCCTTATATATATAGGTGAAGTCAATTTATCTTACCTGTTCCTGCTCAAACGCCTCTAGAAGAGAAGGCAGCCATGGAAAAATTAAACTTACAGTTACAACATCGAGGAAGAGGTAAAGAAAAATAATAAACAAATCTCGAGAAATGTTCATTTTCAAACTAATCCAAAATGTCAGCCAATCAGATACATCTAGGGTATTTTTTTAAAACAAAAAACATTTCAAATTTATGGGGAATTGTTCAGAGTACACAAAAAATTGTAAACAGTAGGACATTAAAATGGTATACAAAAGTGAAAATGTTGTGCGTAAATCATTCTATTTACAAAATACTGTGAAAATCTGAGCTACAGATGGATAGTAATATAACAGTGCACATAAATATGGACTGTAATGCAACTCAACAAATACTTAGTCTTGCATATGCTAAGAGACAAGGCACGTATTGTTTGGAAGATGATGACGTCATCTAGTTTCATAAACCTCAGTAGGTGGAGCAAGGCTCAAAGCTATGATACAATAGTTGCAAGTCAAGAGCCTAAGTCTATGAAACATTCCTCAAATAATTTTTATCGAACATCACCTAAGTTAAAAGCACAAGTGATAACAAAAAGACACTGTAAGAAAGCAAATAACAATGTAATTATATGTGAAAGTACGTCTAATATTATTACAGCGAAAAAATAACATGCACACATATATATACACTCCAAAAAATAACGACAAGTCATTAGAGAAAGATTCATTCCACACAAACTTCAATGGAACTGGTCAGTTTTTATTTTAAGTATGTGAGTCTATATGCCATTATTCAGTAAGAGAATAAATACAATACAAACTCAGACGTTAACACAGACGTCGCGACGCAAGTACCTCTAGCATACCGAATAAATTTGTCAATAGTCTGTAGAGATGACAATTGCCCAGTAACGACAATTTAGAAAATTAGGAATGATTTACATTACTTTAGATAAAACATTTGGCAATCAGTTCGGGAGTTTTATAAAAATGTATTGCCTGAGAATCAGTTGAGTAACTATAGTAATTATAACAAGAATGATAACTGGCGATAACCACAGTGTAAACTGGACCGGTTAAAACTAATTAAATCGTTTTGAATACAACAGACAGACATCAATTAGGAAGGAGTAAGTATGCAGAGCTGAAGAATCTGAGTGTTAGCTAAACAAGGGCAATAGTAATAATAATAACAGGGACAGTTATGAGGCACGTATTTATTAAACACAGTAGGTTCTAGAGAGAATGCAACAGAATAGGCATTATGCACGTTGCATTTATTTCTTCAATATATAACAGTGTTCAAAGTCACCTAAGTGGAGTAGAATGAGTCCTAGTGAAATTTATGAATTTCATAAAGCTTGTTACTTTTTTCAAGATATATATAGAGAAAAAATTTTTATATTACGTTATGTATGATGTAATTTCGCAAAAGGAACAAAAGTGAGTGTCAATTTCATCTTAGACATTTTTTTCAGTATTTTAACGCTTCCAACACAAAAATAATTTTATTAGATATAGCACAATGATACAGTACCATATGTCTAGTGATGACTTAGAGCACAATTTATTGTTCAGTCATCTCAAGGTACTCACATAACCCTCATGTTGAATATGTAGTTATATTATTTCTACTGCTTTGTTTTAACTGATAGACATATTTTCCATTTCTCTAGCATTGCTATCCCAGTATTTATCTTCCGTGCTTTTGGGTGTGGATTCAATGAACAAGGATTCCGCTACCAACCTCTCCACGTAACTATACAGTGAGGTGACTTTCAATAGACTGGTACAGAGACTTCATTACTTTCGTCTTACTTCAAAGTCTTACATAACTAGCTCTTACTGTCCATCTTGTAAATCAAAAGCAAATTTGATCTCTCGCGCCATAGGGTTCATGTGGATAATTTGCTTTCAACATATCCCAACCGTATCCTCGGAGTATAATCACATCTTAAATGATATATGTCCCCAACTGTCCGTAAAAATAACCGTTACGGCTGAAGATATCCGAGATTTTATTACCATGCTGTCTACATTTCCTTGTAATTTAAATACAGTATATGCAAGATACTAAGTATTTGGTGTCAATATATATGTCCCATAAGATGTCATCCAAACTTTTGACCATACTATCCATATGTAACGAAGAAAACCGAAGTAGTTTTTAGTCGAAAATGGTGAAAACATGGTTAGTTTTTATGTAACTAGCCTATAGGCTAACACAGACCAGCATAGTACTCGAAGCAATCAGAGCAGTACTCACTGTTGACCAGAAGCACACCTACAGGACAAAGCTGCCAATGCAGACATTCATTTAAGGTATTCAGATGTCTTACATCTATTACCTTTTCGTACCCATTTCTACTATAACTTGGGGGCGACCAATGAAAAAGGAAAACTGAGATATAAAGGTAAAATGAAACTACTCAAGCTTACTATAATGCTGAATTAAATCTCACTAATTCTGAAATAATTCTAGCATTATATAGTGACTAAATTCTGAATCTGTTCTGAAATGGATTCTTTAGTGGCATAGACTAGAACTCAGTGCTGATATTCAGCATGACTGGCACTAATTCAGGACCGTGTTTTTTCCTAAGCATTTTTAGGAGTAGATAAGAACCTACTGGGTTTACTTATCAGCGTTGTTCCAGCCCTCGCAGGACATATTAAGCACGGACTAGCGTTACTTCAGAACGAAAAGACTTAATTCAGCACCCAGGTCTCTTTTTAAGCACGACCAGTGTTATTTCAGAACATAGTGGGTAGATAAAATCTTCACTTAACATAAAAAGGCATTATCAAAGAATAGGTTAGAATAAGTTTAGAATTGTTGTAAGCTTGGGATTCTCTGCACCTAATTTATTTATAACATTATAAATACGAGGCACACCCAATTATAGTTACAAGCCGGTTAGTAAGGCATTTATAAAAAATCCGTCTTCAGACAATTTATGCATATGCATACAGCTGTATCTAGATATCTATATACCCATCTATAGACGCACATTTATTGTCCACATACGAACTAAGCTTTACAATACCTTAGGCCACAATCTTTTAAAAACGTTTTGAACAATAAGTGGTCTACTTACGATTCACTGATCTTCAGAGCGGAACACAAGGCTTATCATATGAGACACCCAGGATGTCTCGCCTCGTGTAGCGCGAAAAAATAAGTATTCCTCTCAAACTAGAAGTTCCACAGTTTTCGAGGATCCAATATCCAATATCATTTTTACGAAGCAGTATGAACAAATTTGATTTCTTTGTGCTCGCTTCTTGATTGTGAGGTAAAGGTTCCTGGTCTTCGGTAAACTTCTACGTAGTTCGTCCCGTCACTCGACTGTCGTAGCCTTGGTTGACTCCAAAAGGAGTATTGCTGGGATTAATTATATGTTGTGTGTAGTATGAGGTGTGTTAAGACATTGCTACTACTGTGAATGGAGTTGATCCTTTCATCAGTTAGTCCTCCGGTATCGTCGTCAAAAGAAAGGAGACAATAATAATACATATAATTATTGTAGATTATTCAGACTAAAAAGACAGAAAAAGAAATAAAGAAAACGTGAAAACAGACAGCAAATTAAATCTGAAGTTGAAATATATATGTATATAATATCACTAATAGTAGTAATAAGTGTAAGTGTAGTAGTCTGAGTAGTCGGAAGAGTAAGACAGGAAAGAAAGTAAAGAAGCAGAACGACGAATTTATTTCGGAGACCAACTGCTCCTTTTATCACCCGTATTTGGACTCTTCCCAAGAAGTTTGCGTCTCTTCTCAGCACTGGGGGTGCAGTGATACTATGTACTTCAAACTGTGGTTTGGCGTATGTTTTGTACAACCTTAGAAAGAGCTCAGGAGTGAGTGCACCTAACTGTCTATGTGTAAAGTGTATGACCACATATGCCTTCGCTACATCCACCTTGTAATTTATGCTTTTGTCAACTTTCTCCGTCAGAACTAGACCAAAGTCAGGACAAACTTTCGTTGCACAGGGTGTAGCATACATTCTGCAGTCTACAGGTGAGTAATTTCACAGCTTTGCACTTTTTCAGGTTGAAACTCATACCATTGGCCACCGCCCAGTCTTCCAGAAGCTTTAGGTCTACCTGCAGCCTATCTGAGTCTTCCGAACACCTTCTTGCCCTCCATATATTTACGTCGTCAACATATAGAAGAGTCGGGCAGCTGAGACAGCATGGTAGATCATTGATAAAAATCAAAAACATCAGTGGTCCTAGGATAGAACCCTGCGACACTCCTGATGACGAGCTGTACCAAGATGATCGGACTCGATTGACCTTAGTGCAAAATTGCCTTTCATCTAGGTGGTCCTTCAATCATGACAGAAGCAGCCCACCTACACCTGCCTGACTTATTTTGTATTGGAGAAGGCCATGGTAAACTGTGCCAAATGCCTTCTCAAAGTCTAGGAAAACCACATAGACTGGAACATTCATATCCCAGCATGATGTTATAATCGTGCCAAGTTGATAGTAGGTTTGTTACACAGGATCTGCCTTTCCTGAAACCGTGTTGGTCTTCATGTAGTATGTAAGACCTATTGAGGTAATCCCTGATGTGATCGTCAATAATACTTTCCAGTACTTTTGATACCACTGGGAGTAGAGCTACTGGTCTATAACTAGTGGCATTTTGCCTATCCCCACCCTTGAAGATCGGAGAAAGGATGTCTCTTTTCCACTCCCTTGGCAGTTTCCCCGAATCCATTGAGTGTTGAAACAAGTCGCATAAGGGCCTACAGAGAGCTTTGGCGCACTGTTTCAGAACAGATGGCCTGATGTCGTCACAGCCTGGGGACTTCCCAGGTGTGAGTCGCTGTAGCTTCCTTAGTACTTTTGCGGGGTTTATTTGGGAAGTAGCCTCTAGGTCTTCCTCCTGTGAAATAGTGTTGCCACCATTTTGGTCTTTAACGGTAATACCCACATTGCTGTTTAGCTGTTTGGCGAAGACTAAACTGAATGTTTCAGCCATCTCCAAACTAGTGAAATATTTACCGTTTGGTCCTACTAAGGCGCATGTCCCCTGGTTGGTTGGTTTTCTTTCCGACATGAATCGGTACAAGATTTTGGGGTTTGCTTGGAGTTTTTTAGCAAGGTTAGCCTGTAATGACCCCATGTCCATCCTGACGCTTGCATGGCACCTGTTCCTGAGTTACAGGTATGCATCGTGGTTGATCTGAATCTAAGATACACGCCACATAAACCAAGCCTTCCGCTTTGCTTGCAGAATACGTCACGTGCCTCTCTTTAACCATGATGACTTTATTTTGGGCTGTGTTGTGACTAAAAGGACGGTATCCGAGGTTACTGTACGAATAATCTTTTTTACCACCTCTCAGTGTTCATCCACAGATAGCTCATCCCATGCCAAGGGCCAGTCTGCGTCGGACAAAAGCCTCCGCATTTAAGGATAGTCCGCCTCGTTATAACACCGATATGGCCGTGTAGTACCCCACTGCAAGTAATCATGGAGAACGAGATCGATGCCAATGACTGCATGGTACTGCTTCCTAGTGGAGTCATGATCTTGACCTTTTCGACGAGTAGTCGGTCACCAGTTAGAATGTAGTCTAGTTTTGATGACTTTCCACTAGGGCCCCACCTAGTGTCGTCTCCAGCATCCTCAGTCACTCCTGTATTTCGAATGGTTTGCAGTAGATTTCTGCAGAGTTTACCCTGAGCAAACCCCGAGACAATGTTCAGGGATGGGCATTGAAATCTGCAGCTATGGTGATTCGGTCATAGCCCAAGTCCCATATTCATATGATGGTGGTGAGCAGTAGCTTGTCGTGCTCTGCCCCACAAGTGGGTGAGACAATGGATTTGGCAAATGACAGGTTCGGGAACGTTATCCTGTATGACGATATGAAGAATATTTGGGCTGGAATTGATATTATCAAAAAAGTGCTACAGTAGAAAAGAAACTGGTAGTTTACAAGACCTGTTTCATCGAGCGAGGCAAATAGGTCAAGCCGGTGATCTGCGTGACAATGCAAGTTTTGTCTCAAAAGCCATTTTTGCTCTTAATGACATGATCGACCTTTGCCAGAAGTTTCCCGAGGTGGCCGGAATTCATTGTACTTATAAAACGAATAAGATGGGTTAAGTGGTGGCACAAGAAGGTGTGATTTCTTATCGGAAATTACTGTAGATAGCCTTATATCAGTTTGGGCTGGGGAATATATTTGGAAGATGAAGGACAGTTTTATTTGCTCGTACTAAGCCGGGGAGATGTCAAAGAAATCTTGGCGACGTTTGAGAGGATCGTGACAGATACATCCAAAATAGTAACATCCACTACCGGCTGTGCAACTGCACAGATGAATGCTCTGAGGGAAGAATTTCTTAGAAGCAGAACTGTTTTATCTCTTTTCCATGTATGCCAGGCGTTCAGAAGGAAATTAAGTTTCATTCTCATTAATGAACATGACCAAAATCAGTTTCCGAATCAACGTGTTGCGGAGTGGTTGTAATTGACGGCGCACACGCATGGTTACGACAGGTGGGTTAACAATTTATTTTATTTTTGATTCCACACCATATTTTTGGCACAAGTATGGAATTTTCAGCATGGGATATCGGTAGAGCAAATTTTGCAGGCCGATCAATTGACATCAGGTGTGTGTCGTTTGGGGAACGAACCCCGGGCTATGTGCATGGCTGGCGACAGTGCTAACCACTGCATTGTGAAAGGTTTTGGAGTTACTTGAACTTAATTTGTATGACAGATGCAGAAGCTGGTGTTTAAGTAAGAAGGTACTGGTTCAGAACCAGAAAAGATGGGGTTTTATCGTAAGACTGATTCACTATCGGCATGGGAAGCAATAATAACATCAGAGTGGACAACGAACACAGGCAGCTAAAAAATACTCGCATAAAAGCAATCCACGGGAACTTACATCACAGAAAATAAGGGGATGAATTGACCACACAACCATGTATAAATTATGTGACGGCCAGTGTGTGCCTTGCAAATGTCACAATGATGACCTGAGTTTCTGGATAATTCATAATTTCTCCTAGGTGCATACCTTTCTGGAAACTTTATTGTGGCTTCTGACGCCCTTCGCTGCTAAGAAAGTTGTTTTAGATTTGTAAAGGCGTATATTATATTTCCATTCACTGTCCCCGACCTCTGTAACTTACGTACAAGATACTTACACCTTCAGGAATATGAGTAAAGCTAAATGTTCATGCTGGATACACTGAGCAAAAGGTGGAAGTGTCAGTATAACACATACCTCTAAAAGACTGCGAAATTTGTCAGTAAATGAACTAGAGATATCTTACTCCATCCTAGTAAGAACACATTATACATGGTAGACAACTCACTATCATAAAATAGCATAACTTGGTCTATTATTTCGCTTTGCTGTAGTTTGGGTGCCAACATTTCCAACCACTAGTAATCTTTTGGGAAGCCTTTTAAGAGGTCATCGAAAAGGTGCTTAAATCGCTATAAAAAAAATACAGTTAGAACTCATATTCTCTCACAGAGTGTTCAGTGAGTGTAATTCTCTACTGAATCAAGTACTTGCAGCCCCACCTACAAACGCTCTCAAAGAGAAATTGGATTTTCACGGACATATGTGGCTCGACCATCAGGCCAAGAAGCAATAGTTGTCTTTTAACTCGGGAACTGCAAATGACCTTTACCCTCAGATGTATTCCGCTAGATTTGAATATTGTACGCAAATATCGCGAACTACATATGTTGCTGGTTGATAAAACTTGGTCACCCAGTTATCACAGTAAGTTGTTGGATTTACAATAGATGATACTGTTATTATGTAACAATTATTATTAATTAACTTGTAAAGTTCTAAATCACAGTCTAATATCTTGTCCAAACCCAGCTATCATTTTCTTCAGGTCCATTGCAGAAAGTGGGACAGTTATCTGCAGTCTACCCTAAAATTTCTGTAGTGAACCCAAATTCAGTGCTAAATGGAGTATTCCCCAGCTACAATTAGAATAATTATTATAATTAGTAGTGGTAAAGTGTACTTCACATATGTGTGTACTTCAATTATTACAGGCAGATGTGAGGAGGAATCACAGACCTTTTAGTGACATCTATAAGTAGGAAAATATGCCTGAATAACTCACATATAGTGTATAATTGGGTTCGAATCCTAAGAGTTTTCAAGTCTTTGAAATCAGAGCAATATGACCAATATAAGTACTAGCATTAGGATTAATTTTCTAGTGAAAAACTACTCATTCCACTTGATTATCAAAAAGATTCCAAAACATAAGATAAAAGAAAATATTTTTGAATGAGCCAACAAATTATGATTAGAAAATATTTTCTTGATATGCTGAAATTTGTCTAGGGCGCTTCCTAACTTTAAATTATGCGTAAATATGAAAGTGTAGGAACATATTTGAACATATCCGTTTTATTCTAGCACCCATTTCGTCAAATAAACCGTTCGAATACGTTGTTAACCATGAGACAGCACATTTTCTAATAAATGCTTTCATTTTGCTTTCTTGCCCTTATTTGCTAAATATTCGTCTAAGTTTTCTGCCTCCTGTTTTGCCTATCTAACATTTCAAAATCTGTTCAGTTTCTTAATAGGTCAGAAAAGAATACTCTTTCGTACCTTCTCGTCACTGCAATACAATTCAACAGTGTTGTTAAAAAGTCAAATAATGGTGCTAGTTGGTAACTAAAATACATTGAATTCCATGTCAGGAAGGAAATGAATAAACTATAAAACTTGGTTTGGTCCTACGTAATCTTAAACATCAAATGACAAATGTCGTTTAGAAATGGTTATCATTAAAACTGTAAGAGCCTAGAAACAGAAACATGGTTAATAAGAATAAAAGACAGAAAATTCAGGGAGCAAAATAAATGAAAAGGCAAAGGAATCTGGGCTACATATAAAGTTATTCTACGGCTAGTTAAAAAAGGAAACTGATTTAAAGTCATGGTAGTTAAAGGGGACTGGATAAACCATACTTTTTCCTTGTATATAGCATGAACCTTAAATATCTACTAACGCAGAATGGACTGAAAGATCAGCTCCTGCAAGAATCGAACCATTGGTTGGTCTAGTTTCTTCTCTTGATGACTATATTGGAAGAGGATCTTGAATAGATCTAGAAGATTTGCTTTACCGACAGCCCTTGAGTGTATAACACTAATTCAGTCTAACGTAATACTGAGACTCCTGACTGTAACTGGTAATATTACATATAACTTATATTGAATATATACATTCACCACTTTTAAAAACGGCGTACGCTTCTCTAATAGATTATAAGAAAAAATTTTATTAATCCTCGATTAAAAACCATCACAAATTTATGCAAAATGATTAGAGGGCTTCAGTAAAATATTCAGCTGAAGATGCTCTCCACATCACCCCAGAATTTCCTCAGTGACGCTGATGGAAGCTGGATGGAGTTCTGGTAGCATTTTGTTTGGATAATAAGTTTGTAAGGTAGACTGTAACACTAATCGCTTTAAAATGTAAAATAACAGTTGGTTGTTTTAAACACAACACTCGCATTTAAAGCAGCTTCCACAAGATTTTTGATAAAAGACGGCACTATCAGCTTCATATTTCACTAGTTCCTAATAATAACTTTGTAATGTTCTCTGAGAATCTTTAACAATCACTTTGGATGACATGTTGCATCATTTAGAGGACGGGCTATATATATCAGTTTGAAACGTGTAGGTTCCTCAATGAATAATCCTATAAAATTGTAGGCAACCTTTTTAGGGGACACAAACTTAGGTAATTCGAATTGCATACGTAGAACCAACTCAGTATAAATCCTGCCTCTCACATTGCTGATCATTTTTCCTTCTTGGTTGCTCATAAAAAGTTCAAAACACTTATAACTAACTGTATATCAAGCCGCTAAAGATGTGACCTAACATTTTTCCTGTATATTATCTCTGTAAAAGTATCAGAAAGCAAACATCAAGACGTTTTTTGAGATAAATAATTTAAAATTGTTGACCTGTACAACTACCAGTATGATCAAATTTACTGCTTACCACAACAAAAAATACTTGGCCCAAATTTCTTTTCATTCAGTGTGGATGAAAAGCTGTATCCTTACAGACTACAGTTAATATTATTTTTAAGTAGTTTTGGGGAATTACGGCAGTTTAATTCACGACCTTTCACTTTAAACGCAACCAAGCTACCATAAAAACCATTCAATTTTCTCTACCTGTATTTTGTAGAGCACACTTCCAACACGTTCTGAATCATAATAGAGAAATGGTCCACAACGTAACTTGTGTGTGTTAGACAGCATTATGACATCTTGAAATGTGTAATTCGCATAATGTTTGCTGTGAAAGCAAATTCTTTGGAAAGTGATCCAAAGTTATGTAAGTGCACTTAATATCTGATGAAATTTACTGATTTGTGAAGCTATTTGATTGAAGTTTGACATTCTAGCCCGCAAACTCATTTTTCCGTTTTTTGACATTATTGCGATTTGTCTGATTATGGTGAATTTGCAGTACTTACAAATCACTACGGTGAATTAAGAGGTTAAAAATCATAGGCCACTGGATTTTAACCCGGGGGTTGGATGGCGGCCTGATGGTCTTTAGACTGATTCATCTCATGTTACTTACTGGTAATGGGTCCAAAACTAATGTCTACAGATCCTGAGATTTCAATTTTTACATTAGCTTGTGCTAATTACCAGTAAAATCACCAATTAAAATACTTGTTCCTTTGGGATCACGATAAATATACACCTAACATATTATAAAACCTTCTACACCACCATAATCTCCATGTGTATTATGATTTCTTTGAAATTTCCTAGGAAGAAAAATCTCAGCCTCTTATGACTGAATTAAATATTTACAGCGATTAAAAATTCACGTGATCAAAATCATTTGTTTCACAACTCATTGGTCTTTATGATAACGGGAAATAGAAACCACATGTAAAAATGTATTTTCTATGAGTATTTGACAAACGAGAATGAATTCCGCATATTTAGTAAATTCTTCATATCCCCTAGAAATGTAAATATTTAGCACAGTGTCATCGTAATAACTTCCCCAATAGATGCAAAAGATTTTTAGTTACGTAATAGCTGAGACAAAGATTAAGGAAGAGCCGCGTTTCCCCAAAAATATTGGCTCAAAAGAAATAAATTCTTACTTACAGGGCCTTAGTTTGATTGATATGTATTTGAGAACTGCATTGAAAATTACTGATAAAATTGCTGTCAGGTATATAGAAACTCGAGGCACTTCCAGCAAACTGTTATAGATCCTTGACCGTTATATTTCACAGGAAGGAGGATAACTCCCCCTTATTGTAACTACAGAGGGATCAGCTAGACTTGTAAAGCGTCTAAGAACTCAGATTACCTGGTTGTCTAAAAATCTATAGGGATATAAATAAGCATTTCCTATGGAAAATACGTAGATTTCAGTTTCGAAAGAACACTAATTGCATTAATTTTCACCCTCTGACAAGCTTTAGAATATAAAAATAATTAGAAGGACTCAAACATTACCATAATTTTTGGCCTTACCAATCAAACAGTGGGGTGACAATGTATTAGCTCTAGAAGGAGTGAGAACTCTTGATTTAAAAATACGGGGTGAAATGAATCAATTTCAGTAGGGATATAGAAAGTCTACCTGTCATTTACAAACTTACATTATCCCTGATGTAGATAGGATATCCCAACAGCTATCATATTGTTTAGGCACGCACAACAACTGACTCTACCCGACTATAGAGTTGTGATAAATAACCAATGAAAGCAGATATGGATTATTACAAGTTTCTATTGTTTATGATTTCATTTTTATGTTTGTTACCTGTTGTGGAAACTATTACCACCATTTGTTTGATCTGAATAAAGGTATAAGCAACTGCGCTGTTTTTTAAGTCAATTTGTATTGCTTTTAAGATCAGAATTTCTTATTTTAGCTCTTCACGCTGCTGTAATTATACAGTGTTGGTATAGAAAGTGTAAAGCAAAACTAGAGGTCCGCCGAAAGTGCGCATGGCAAGTGAACCAGTCACTAGAATACGTGATGGATACGGACGATTCTGAAGGGGTTAGTAAATTTCTAATGTAATTTCCTTATTCAGTTTTAATGTGGCTATAAATGGAGCTAATCAGAATAAATATATTTTATCCCAGATTTGACAATTCTTTTTGCTTTTAACTTATCTATCCAAATTTTCACATGACAACTATTCCTTCTTCATGTTTGGGTACACTCTTTCCAACACAGGAAGCTCATGAAATAAATGCTTTTATTCTACGTTTTATTATCTATTGCATTTTAAATAACTCCAGTTCTACATCTGATGTCTAATGTATATTAAAGGGGAAATTCTACTAATTTCTTTAGGTGGTAATATTCCATTTGTCTTCTTAATAGTGTACTGAAGCTTTTCCTAATTATGCATATTTCCATTCTTAGTTATTCAACAACAGTTATACAACTAGTGACTTAAAATGTTATATGTATATTTATAATGACAGACTAGCAGTTGTTAATATAAAGGTTAGCTGAACAACTTGCTTCACCTGTAAGCGGATTCATATCACTTCAGCATTCTGAAGGAGGGACCGGGGTTACTTGTATTAAACTATGAGCTAGGGATTTGGTCAAACAGTTGAGATAAACTTAAAGTATATAGTATCTTTTAATCTGTATAAGATTTTCAAATGCAGAATATGACAGTAAGTGACAAAATCTTTAGGAGAACCTATGATTGAGAACTCCACACTATTTAATATGGAGTCATGTTATGAAATTCAAAGTATTGGAAAAAAACTATATTTATAAGAACTATTATCCCACCTACTAAGTTGTGTCATAACTGATTATTTTAAGCTTCTCATTGCCATTTATTTATGTATACATATTTGAGACCTCAGTTACCATGGCTAAGTTTTGACGTTTCGATATCTGTTACCATGAAACTTCTTCTCATAAGGTTCTCAAGAATGAAATGCAGGTGTAGTGCATGTAAGTAAGACTTTAGTAGCTTTTAGATACTGGTTTCATAATTCTCTATAAATGTGTTTTTGTGACCTTTAGTGTTTTGTAAAAATACCTTCTCAAAATCACAAAAATAATCAGATTTCTTCAGAATCTGCTAAATTTATCGGCAACAATAATTTTAAATAAACTTCAGTGACGCCTGAGTTTACTCTCAGATGACTTTTGATAAGTATTGGTGAGATATTATTTTCAGACCGTTTTATCATATTGAGAATTCCTTTTTTTAAATGCCTAAACTATTATTTTTAGTGAGCTGAATCCTAAGTGTGGCAGTTGTAATCGCTTGTATTACATTAGAAAAGACTAAGTGACTCGTTATTGACAGTCTGTAGTGAGCATTGGTTTTTAGATACTTTCTTCTTAAAGCTATGCTTACTTTTTATTCGCTGTAATGCAGTGAAACAGTCCAAGATTCTTTAATTTTATAAATCGTTAGTTCGCTAGAAACAATCAACTAATGACCATAACATGTATTTGTTTCTTCCGGTTCACCTTTCAAGGTTTATGGCCACTAATTTCAGTTGGTAGTCATATTGTTCTATCTCTGAGCTAAACAAAACCACTACTGAAATTTAATTTTCTCCATGATACTGATTAGAAAAGGAGTGGAATTTATATGTGTTACTGTTAAGCATCTGCTGCTAAACTCTTCGACATATTATCTCACCAGTATCTATGTATAAACCTCTTTTTGACAGTGATGACGTTGAATTTTATAAAATCCAACGAAATGATTTCACTGTATTGTACAAATTTATCAAAAGATATTGTTTTTCACCGGAATAATGTTTTTTAAGAACCGGTTTTTGAAAAAAATGATAATCCTCAAGTTACTACTCGGAATATTCACTCACTATGTGTATATTGTTTATTTGTACAGCTACAGCTTATATTGTCTAACTTTGGTGATACAGAAGATGGTAAGGTTGAGACACTCTCTGAATTGAGGTTTTTCATATTTCCGCTGCACTGAAACACTGCTGAACATAATATTGCATGAGATTGTGAAACTTTTATGTAGTCACTGCACGTAAAATTCTGTGTATTAATTTAGCACTACACTAAATAAAGATTTAATGTTAGAAGTTACGGCACAGTGAAAATGATATCTGTCGGAAATTTTCACTTGAAACAAAGGCGTATATGCTACTGGCGAAAAGTTATCACCTCCTTTATGTTCAAATATTGTTATTCATATGTACAGCCGAAAAGATCATCTTCTTGTAGTATTATGCCAAAATCGCTGAGGAAACTTTTTGATTCTGAAAAGATTTGAGTCTGTTTCAACCTAAAATGTTGGTTGATGTTCCTATTGTGATGGTTTATTGCACTGAATAATATCGGAGATTGTTGTTGTTCCAGTAATCGCATGAAAATTTAATGTATGGACATTGTGACTGTTATTTTTCTTGGAAAACATATGTAGTTCCTTGGTCAGTTTTAGTTGAGTTGGAATCAATTACTTTATGTCTTCTAACCTGGGAGAAATACTTGAGCGTACTTCATGTAACGTCTACTTACGTCAGATAATGAGCATGTTTGTTGATTTAGTGATCTGTAGGCAAAGAAATAAACATATTTTTAGCACGGTATTTCATGTCACTTAACTACTTAGCAGTACTAGTAGGTAGAAGCTACGACAGGAATAGAAAAAATAATAGAGGAGATTAAAGAGTAGATACAGAAAGACGAGGGTATGGTGATGTGATAATAAATTATTTCCGTCAAAAAAAAAGAAGTAGGGAAAGTGCTCATAAATGAGTTCACATGCACCTATGATATTGTACTGAGTATATGTGAATAAGGTATGCAGAATTGTTTGTTACTTCTTTATACTTTGATTAAGACACTCTACTTGAACTGAATTAGTGGCGTATAAATTGGTGCCGACTAATGTTTGCATTCAGTTTCGTTGTATACGTACTGTTAATTTTTCAAAATGTGACAAGCTGAAATGAAACAATTTCTGTGGCACGTAGTCAAGCACATATTCTTTTTTCCTCAAAGCACCTAATAATTTGCAAGCACACTGTTTAAAAACAACCTTATGTTTCATCGGATTTTTTTGTAGAAAAGGGCTTATGTTAACTATGTTGACATCTGTCTAATAAAAGTATCCTCAATGTTTTCTTAAAATCTACTGCTTTCCTTGTCAAGAATCCGAGTTTTGATATTGTTTTCGGGCTTACACATGCTAAACATATCTATCACTTACATTTTGTCTGCAAATTTTAATTTACCGAACAGTTAGTGTCATCACGTTTTTAAATATGATTATTGTTAATTCTGACACAGAGGAGAGTTGAAGTTAATTTCTTTTTTTTAATCAGTTTCAGAATCAAATAAATCTTTACTCAATAGACAAATTTCGTTTGCAGCTGACTTCAACTCAGATCTCAGCTCTTTAGAACCTCCAATATCTGAAGAAAATTTCCTATCCTTCCTTGCATGGATAAAGTCAGATAAAGTAAGTTCAGCTGACAAATCTTTTCTACAATCTTGGACTAATTTTTCCAGTTGTCAAATTTTTAATACCACAGTACAGACCATTCTTTTTTCTGTATTCTTCTAAGTCTCGAAAAGCAATTCTCTCCTGTGTCTATCTGTATTTTCGCCTAACTTTATATCACTTCAAATGATATAAAGTCTTCACCATTGAAACCAATACGCTTCATTTTAGACTGCTGAATAGATTCAGCTAAGTTTCTTTGTAAGTACATAGTAATAACTACTTTGAATAGTTGAAGATGAAGCAGTAACTCATCGAAGAAGACATTGCGAAATGGTCGCACTATGTCGTGAATTGGCAGAAGTTAGAATTCAAGGACCACTGGATCGGGTCCCAGTGGCTCAATGGTCTACGAGCTCGCCTTGTAACCAGAAGGTCCTGGGTTTGAACCGTGGTGGTGGGTGCGTACTGATGAAGAGTCTCAAACTAGGACGAAGCAGTCGTCCAGTACTCCCAGGTTTTCCAGTGGTTCTCTAACTGATGTCAGCTCATGATGAAATCCTCTATGCAATCAAACAAAATCCCTACAAAGCCAATACTTGAAAACTTTGAGTAGTGTGAAATTTTCAAACCACTGAACTGTAGATATCTGAAGCTAAGATTTTTATAACTATGGTTGGAAGTGCGACTGCACGTTTTTATTTTGAATCTTTTCTTGCATGTTTCTATAACTGATAATTTTATTAGAATATGTTAGTTACGGCACAAAGGAATATGTTGCCCAGGTGATATTGAGTACCTCTCATTACTGCTTGTATTAATCTTCCTTCTTGTATAACTGGATTTCTTAACAAAGAAATATATTTCTAATTATTCTGCAACATCAAGTGGACAAATAATGTTGATTTAAAGCCCGTGGGATTGGATGAATGAGTGGAGTTTGTCAGCAACATACTGAGCTCTTAATTACTAATGACTTTGTGGCCTATCAAAAGTTGTAGTGGAAGATGAATTGGTTACTATGTAGAAAACTCCTTGAAGCAGGACATAACAAAATGACAGACACTGCGGTCATTGACTCTTGGTTTGCACTTTATGCAAAAACGAGCTCATGAAGTATTCAAGTGAATTTTTTTCTGAATCATATCACGAAGTGAAAAATCAGTGAACATAGTGAATAATCATGTACTCTTTGTCTTTGTACCAATCACAATGATGTCATACTCATTTTAGATTTCCAACTATTCCATTTCATTTTTTGAATTTATTTTTATTGTCTTTATACTTCTAAATAGTATGTCATTTAAATATTCAGTGCTTTATTCTGTTTGCTTCATCTTTCTATTTGTAAGACTACCTACTTATGCGTGGAATATGACCATTGGAAATTTGTGCTGATTCTCCAAGAGTAAATCGTATAAGTCAAGCAGATAGACTGGGAAATGAGCCATAAAGTGCAGCTTTATCTATTTTACAGTAACACTACTTATTCCGGGCGGAATTTCCTCCGGCGTTTATATAAAAAAACATAATGGATTTAACTGCTTCGTTTATATTCCTGTGTAACTTTTAAGAAGGAATGATATTAACTGACTTTTATACAATTTTATGCATACATTTTAGAAGATTCCTACTAAATTCGTAGTCCTCACACTGACCAAAGCTACAGAATTTTTGCGTAAACAGCCGAATCTTTCAGAAATAGTACTTGAAAAAGATCATCATTTAACAGTCTGTGGTGATCTTCATGGCAATTTATTAGCAGCTGTGAAAATTTTCGAAGAAGTAAGTTTTTTTTTTATACAGATCAATAACCAAAGACAGAGCAATCAATTAAATTTGTTTTTCGATGTTTAAAACTTATGTCATTCAATTTTTTATATCTACAGTTGAATGAAGCAGTGTTATTGATATACGCCCATCCCTTATACATATAAATCCATGAGGATTTATAAAATCTGACTATATTTATTGCACTTATTCACTAAATATACACATGTGGTTCAGCCATATTTAGGTTATTTTGAAGGATTTATAGTAACTGTTATTACGACAATCGAAATTGTTGGGAAATAAATAGAACAAATTTTTACTGTTTATCTTCGTAAGCATTTGTTATGAGCATTCAAGCATGTTACTTAACACTTTGTTATGGCTAGAACGAGTAATTGTGTTTCATCGGCCAGATCCACGCCTTTCGAAGACCATTAATGGACACAGGAAATTCACCTACAAGCAAATATATTTGATGAAACATTTGTAATATGAATAAACTAAACTCTGTGTATAGGTTCTACACCAAAATTTCTGAGAAATGGTCGCCAGATACTTTTTTATCATGAAGTGAAATAAGAATTAGAATGTAAATTTTGTTAGTATATACATCTCCTAAGTTTGTAAATAAAATACAGCAATGGAGGAAACTAGAAGTCTTAACTTTATTAAAGTAATCATCATAACGCAGATTTGCTTCAGAAAATACTGTAAACAACGCATCACAGAAGTTAGAATTCAGGGGCTGTTGGGTCCCATTCCAATGGGTTTATGATCAACCAGCTAACCTTGCCACCTAAAAGTAGTGGGTCTGATTCCTGGTGGTGTCATGGATGCTTACTGCCGGAGAATCCCAAACTATAACGAAGCAGCTGTCCAGTACCCCATGGTTTTCAATGATTATCTGAAGGATACAAATCCGTGATAACAATTCAGGACTCTGTGTGCTTTTGAAAGCGTGGGCGGTTGTTACTTCCCGACCGCCCACACCGTGGAAGTTGGTTTATTCTTGGGGTTCCTGAAATAGAAATAGAATTAGTGTTGCGTGACCACAAAGCCCAGAGGACAACTGCTTTAGGTCCGTCATACACAGCCTGTATGAACTGGTTTCTTGGTTTGGTTCCGTATTAGTAACTTACCGCCGGCTACGTACCACCGTAGGGTAAGTCGGGATGTACAGTTTCTGTGGTTGACCTCTTCTAACCCCCTCTCTTCAGAGTGCCGAAACAGCACAGCTGGCCATGCTGGTCATCTGACGGAAACACATTACTGCTGTTACATTCCTGTTCCCCATCAGTGCAACTTCATCCACAGACCCCTAGCATAGTGTAAGAAATTTTACACTATGCCGATAACTGCTTTTAGTCTAATGGCTATCCTAACAGTCTTCCTATCATGATAGGACCTTCAGGAACATTAGTTCCAGCCAGTGTAGCTTGTTGGGTCATTGTGATATGCAAGCCCGACCACCACGTCAAGGTAGCAGCTATCAGTCTATTGTTCTTCCATATTACTGTTCTCTTTGTCTTATATTTCTTTTTATTTTCTCTGCTTTAAATCTCTCTCTACTCTCTCCTCTTGCTTTGTGTGCTACATAGAGTGTTGCAACTCGAACTGCTGTACATCTGTACAAAGTTCTACGTTGAAAGCAGTCAATCAGTCAGTGATAACGCTTGAAATCATAATGTTGATTTGCTTCAGAAAACACTACAAACAATACATCATGTAATTCAACACATAATATAGTTTTTTCTCTCAAGTTAGTGTAAATATAAAGCTTTCCTCTCACAGTGCTTGATGATAATAAACAGTGTATATTTTAAGTCGAAGACTAACTTTGTATTTATGTCAACAGTATGCATAAATACTTATTATTTTTTAGCATAAGTAACAGTTTAACAAAGGCTTGCAACAACTTGATTAGGCCTACTGAATTCAAGGTAAAGTATGTACTAAGACCAGTTAAAGTGTTTCCACCAAACATGTTAAACATTGGTTTACTTTATGGAAGTTATAGTAAGTTAATATACTTTATTTTGTTTAAAATAACTTAATAATACAAAACTATTTAGAAAGATTTGACTGGTCGCAAAACATCCACCCTTTTAATTTTTGTGACATTTACAGACTGGTTTACCGAATTATCACAATCGGATTATATTTAATGGAGATTTTGTTGATCGAGGGGCTAAATCAGTTGAAGTGATAAGTTTGTTGTTAATGGCTCTCTTAACTTATCCGAATGACATATTTCTAAATCGAGGAAATCATGAAGATATCAAGATGAATGAGAGGTAATTGTTTTTTAATATCATTAAATGATGGTATATTTTACTTACCTTGCATTCTAAACATGTGTAGATAGAAAAGATATTCGTCTTCCTTCTGTTAGATTCCATTTTGCATTTTTTGGTGTATTCAACTTTATATAGTGACATGATCATTGAACAGATACAAACATGTATCCTGTTTGATCACTTGGCCAAACGAATAAACTTTCTTTGGCTTAAGATTAACAAAATTTACAAAACTATCATTTCTAACTGTGATACGTCAGTTGGCCTTTGTTAAAAGACTAAACTTAAACTAAGTGTATAATGACAAAATGTATACCTGGTTTATAAAACAATTTAAACTAGCTAAGTTTGAGTTACCTAAATAAACTCCTAATCAACACTCGGAGGTAATAAGGAGAAGGAACACGCTAAATTGAAATAATCTATTAATACAAACCCAGTTAGACAGACGTTAATGTTTGGTGAGATTTTGATGATGATTTCAGTAAATTCTTCGTTGTTGGTTTCATCTAAATTAGCATTCACTGAGATTCATTCATTTTCTAAATTTCGCATGCTTTCAACATCTTCCAACATTCAATATTTGAAGTGGCCACACCAGAAGACCAACCGAAACCCACGTTGAAATCAATAGCATCTCCACGTCTTGATTATCTTGTGTCTTATTGTCAACAAACACGCATCATCAACATCGACGAGTCTCACTCGAATTCAGTGAGAATGTTGAGTTTACTTCTTACAGTGCCACTGATTTCAGCTGGTGACAGTGCACATATTAAAGTAAATACTTAGATGAGATGCCTCACGATTTCTTCGATCAAGTTAAGATATACTCTCATTTGTGCAGTTATTTGTGTGTGTGAAACATTTCAGTTTGTTTGCACACACCAAGTAGTTGTTGATTGTGTTAAATAGGTCGTCTACAGTTATTGTGTTTGGTAAGGATGTATGCACACACCAGCGCAATTGCTCTGGTGCGCCCCAACGGCCAATCCAACAATCGAATATAGCTTTGGCTACTGTGGAGGCATCATTTCGCTGAAGAGGTACAGCTTCACACCATTTCGTAAAATAATCGACCATGACCAAGATATATTTGTTCCCACGCGTGGTCTCACGTAACGGTCCGGTGGTTTCTATACCGATTACTTCGTTGGGATATGCAGCCTTCATATTAGTAAGTGGCGCTCTAGGTTTCCTCTGTGGGTTCTTTACCTTGCCACATGTTGCACGCCCCTAGACAAAATCTTGGACGTCGCGCCGTTGGCGAGGCCACCAATAACGTTGGGCAACTGCTTGCAACATCTTATTAATCCCGGCATGTCCCAAGTCATAATGTACCTTCTCCAGAATTTCTGTTACGAACGACTGAGGGACTACGAATCTTCTCAAGTAGTTGGGACCAGGTTGAACACACAGGATACTATTCACGAGCACTAACTGGTCCCATAAGGCTAACAAACATCTCGTCTCCCAACTTTTCCCTTCCACATCAGCTTCGACTGGTCTACCAGTCTGATTCGATAGGGCATGATATAGGAGTGAAGTCTCATCGTCTGTAGCTTGGATATGTGCCCACTGTTCTCTTCTTAGATATGCCAACGAAATAGCACAAATATCAATGCTCTCGCAGAACGAGCAGTCTCCGTGCGGTCTGAAAGAGCGTCTGGACAATGCATCAGCATTGGCATGCCGCTTGCCAGAATGGTGTACACATTCAGAGTCATACTTCTGGAGGTATTCCTGCCATCTTGTGGTCTGTCCTTCAGGGTCCTTGAAGTTTTGCAGCCACTGAAGAGCTTTGTGATCTGTGGCTTTTGAAGGAGATCCAGCAGCAGAGATACGCTTCCGTATTCCTCATCAGTTCGAAGAGGGCTTACTGCACGATGAAGTGAGAGAACGGGTCATCGAAAGTAATCCTACATCGCCCGTAGAGGCTCTGCAGGTAGCCAAACATCTCTCGCTTTGATTCAAACGAGTTTCGTAGGCTTGCCATGTTCTGTAATAGAACAGCACAGACAATAATAAATATATCAAGCACGCTGGGATAAGACGTGAAAAGCAGAACACAGACTCGGGTCGAAACACTATATAATTACCAACCGAATCAATAGCAGAAGAAGTCAAAGATATATACAACAAAAGAGCTAGCCTATAACTGTTCAGCGACCACCGGGTTTTGAACTGACGCCTCCTTTTGAATTTTAACCACTACAGTTATCTTCATCACCTCCGTCTTCTCTATGTTCGCCTGCAGTGGTGTCTTCGCTGCCAGCCTCTTCTATCAGTCTGTTGGTTTTCGCCTGCAAGTCTTCGAGTTTGTGTGATATCAGACATATATCATCTGCGAAATTCGGATATTCTGGAGTCTTCTTATCGGTGGTCCGGTGTATTCCTGACTCCTCGCTCCCCACAGTCTGATGCCTAATCCAGTCCACCACAATTAGGCATATCATCGGTGATAATAGGCGGCCTTGTCAAAACAATATGCTTGAAAACAAGGAACCAGCGTAACTTACTACATTTTCAAATGGTTTGAAAAAATTGAAGAGACGTAGGATTGGGTTTCAGCACCATTAGAATATGCTTTAAAAGTATAAAAAGCCTTTTATAGACCGTCTTCATCACTACCCTAACTCATTATTTAGAAATGTCTACATAGTTCTTCTATAATTATCTACCGATTCTGTGAAATATAATACTTCATTTTTAGTTTTCAGTTAACATTATCTAACACAGTTAAAAACACGTGCATTCGGCTTTTTACTCACGTATAAGTTCTAAACCTTATATTTTATTCCTGTTGATTGCTCATTTTCTCGTAATTAATCATTCTAAAACTGGGTTTTTTATTTTCCATAGTACTGTTAAGTATTCTGAAAAAAAGAAACTGAAATCAATTCATTATAGTATTAATCTGAGTTTTCTTTCTACTTATTAACATTGGTGCGTTGGTAGCACAGTGGTAGAATGCTCGCCAACCACGCATGTGGTTTGGGGTTCGATACCCAGCCGAAGTACTCTTTTACCTCATTAAAAAAGTAATAAGACTGATAAAGAGGGGAAGGTTGGGCATGAGGCTACCCCATCCCTGTAGATGACAAAGAAGCATTCTTCAATGTTGTTTTTGTGGCTGATGGCCTAATACCGAACTGTTGATGGTTTTTACTACACCTTTACTTAGCCATACTGAAAGATGTTCTCGAGCACGAAAACTCAAGTTCCTAGAGCAACAGCCGATAAAACTCGCTCCACAAGCTCAGTTGAATTGGTAGATACAATTGGGAGTGCCTAGTCTAGGTACTTCACCTTTCAATCGAGGAATTACCATCGGTCGTGTAGAAAATAGGACGTGTTGTTTACCAGAATTAGAAGTTCTCTGAACTGATTCACAGTTATAATCTCCGAATTTCGGTTCTTACAGAGTTAAAATTTATGATTGTCTTTTATAGTTATTTCGTTCATTGCTTCGATTTTATCTCAACATCACTCATTTAAGAATGATTTCTTTAGTTATTGTTTTATTATTTTTTGATGTAATTACCCGAATGTTTATTATAATAATTATAAGGAACGCTTTCGTTTATAAAAATTGCTTTGGGCACGCCCTACTTTTCTTTTTAATAGGAAGGGAAAAGGTTGAGACAATTAAATCCTGTATACCTACGAATCTATACAGGCATATTGGATGAGATTTAAGTATGCATCTTTAGAAAAAAAAAGTATAAGAGCGATTTAGCGGGAAGTAATACATGAACAGGTCAAAATATTTATGTATGTATATGTAAATCCTTTTGTAAAATTTAAGCGACATATTTATCTTACAGGATTAGTTGAAGAGTATACACAATATTCATTCTACCCTTTTAATATGAAGATTTTTATTCTATCATAAGTTAATATTATGAGCTTTATGAATTCAAAATACCAGTTTTAACTTATAAATCCATTCTAGTCATTTTAGTTTGAACTGTCGAACAAAAATGTATCTTAGAGTATATAATTAGAGATTGGTATTAATTTACACTGCTGTTCTCTTTTATTTATTTTTTTACTTTCCGTGTTCACCAAACACTTGAGAAAATTTTTTATCACGCATTTGTAAATTCAACTATTTTTTTTTTACTGCTTTACGTTCTCAGTGGAACATAGGGCTTCAAGCTAAAGCTTTGAAGTTTCGGTAGCAATGGTGTATTTTTTTACGGGATAGGGTTGCTGGCCTCTTGCCCAACCTTCCCTCTTTACCAGCCTTATTGCCCTCTCAGTGAGATAAAGGAGTACGTCATCTGGGAGTTGAACCCCGGACCACATTCGTGGCCGGCGAGCATTCTGTTGTTAAGCCATCGACGCACAGATTCGATTATAGCTTTTTTAATTTACTTATAAAACAAATAAAGAGTAATATAATTTATTAGTTATCATTGTTTACTCTCATTTTACTGCTTTTACTAATTCTGAAACGCTTTTATTTTATTATAAATTGTTTAGGTATGGACTTGTGAAAGAGCTGTCAAACAAATATCCTGTAAGTTAATTTTTGTTCTTTAATAAACTTCTAGTTTATTGTGTATATAGTTTTTTTTGTATGTTCAAGATAATTTCATCTGCAAGATTTAAAAGTTTTAAGATTCCTGATCTTCACGACACGTTTGATTTACCAACTTTTGACAGCTTCTAATAAATATTGCAGAGATTTATTCACTATGAGGATTTGACAGTGAACAGTTTGCCGGAATCTGTCTGATGTTCTCTGTGATCATTTTAAGCTAAATAACGTGATACAGTTACATTGATGAACACTGATGATGAATGACAAGGTCTCTGATTTTGATACTAACTGACTTAGGTTTGAATCTCCAATGAAAAATGCTTTTCCTCAAATCTTTAGACAATTTTTGCTAATAAGTTTCAGCTGTCACGAGGTCCACGTTAGTGGATCCTTTATGGCATCAGAATTCAAGACTGTTGATAAATGTCACCTTAAACGTGAACTGTGACAGTAATAATAAAATATAACTACATGAAAGGACTGAAGGAAAACTGGTGAAATAACAATGTTAACATATTTCATAAAAGGAAAAATGAACTGGTGAAGAATATTTCCTGAAAGGTCAGTAAATAAAGAATTAAGGCACACAGATAAAAGAATTTGACCATCAGAGTCATCTCAAGTTCGTTCACTAACTGATAACATTTAGAGAACCACTAGTGATTGACTACAGGACGAAGTTGTCTAAAGTTCTAGTAAGAAGTTATGACCAGTGGGGTTCATCAGATAGGGTGTGATGACGAGCACACGCCAATGACATAGGCTGGCAGCGGCGCCAAACTCGCAAACTGATAGAAGTTAGAAATTGTGGGCCATTGGATTCATCCTGGTACTTGGATGATCAACCAGCTCGCCTCGTAACCTGAAGGTACTGGACTTGATCCTCAGTGAGATTACAGGTGTGTACTGTGAAGAGTCCCAAACTAGGACGAAACAGCGGTCCAACACTTCTTACTGGCTTTCAGTGGTTCTCCAACTGATGTCATTTCGCTATCAAATTCAAAACAAATCAAGCCACTACAAACTAGTACTTGAGAGTTAACCCGGTTATTTTTCGCCACTTTATCAAAAGGCAAAAAGTAAATAGAGAGCTATGCAAATTCAACTATATCGTTCTTTTCATTTCATTTACAGAAGGACAAAAAGAATTTAATTCATGTGTTTGATGAACTGTTTCGTGCTCTACCAATTGGAGCTATTATCAATAATACCATACTTGTCTGTCATGGTGGTATATCGAAGCATACAGATATAAGGAAACTGAAGACGTTAAATAGATTTAAAGTGAGAGCTCCCTGTTTTCTTTTTTCTGCTATTTGAACGCTTTATAACTCTTAAGTCGCTAGTTCAGGGAAAACAGTTTTCATAAATTATCTCCCCACTAAACACTAATGAAAACACTTTTCTTCTGGTCGTATCACAAAATAGTGTTCAGTACTCATAATACTTACACAGGACGGTTAAATGAATCTAAGCCCATGAAAGTAATGCTCGAATTAGTTTGCGCTTACCAATGAACGAAATCTATTATACTCAAACATGCTCCTTAAATTATAGCAATACTTTTTTGAATTTATTACCCTATACCAGGAAGTTAGCTGCAATTGATTTTTCTATCTTTTAAGTAAATTGAATGACAACATGGCATCTAATTTTGGGGAGAATAGATATACCTGTCTGTTTATTGCTATGATGAAATTTGTTGGCGCGATTGTATCCGTTAACTTCACAACATTCCTCTGTGTATCATTTCGGCTTCATCTGGTGTAACATCGCTCCCACTGATATAAAGCTGTGAAATAACAACTAAATAGAAATGGAATTCAGGCTTATCAAAATGCATAAAAGAAACTTTTTGCTGATACGTCATATATTCTCACAAGATCAGCATTAGTTCTAATTAAATATTTGTATATTTTAAATAGTATTTTATTTGTTAGGTATCTGATTATGAGCAGGCTGTTTAGTACGATGAAGAAGCATCTACTTTTAGTTATCTCCTGTCATTTCCTAAACGCTTTTCGTGACGTTCTAATAACGGATAATTAAGACACAGAAACTTGAATGAATAGTAAATAACTTAATAATAACCATTTTGATGTCCCGAGAATGTCTTATCCACAATTTCCAGCTTTTACATTAGACCTTAAAAGCATATAGGATATTACGGAATCTGCCAGAAGAAAAGGTGAAAAAGGGTTCAGAATGTGTTATTGATTCCTAAAGATGGATGATTCGATAATATGTGAACAGATGACATTCTCACACGTACAAACAGAATAAATTCGAAAAAATAGAAGATTCAGAAGAAGTCTTTGTGAATCTGCAAAACTAAATACAATATTGAAAATAGTAAAGAGCCTACAATGAGCATATATCAAATTACCAGTTAAAACTGTGCTGATACTAGCAAATCGTGGTTAAATTAGGCTCAAAAGTTAACCAAACCACTGGAATCAAGAATCTCGGAATTCATAGTATATGAGAAATCATGTTTAGTAACATGTTTTGTTATTTTCTGTTGCTTTACTATGAAAACTCACAAGCTATGAGCATAAGTCAATAGTTTCACAACAGAGATTCATTTAGCCTCAAAACATTTCTATAGTTGGTTTGTAAGGGTTAGTTTTGTTTTTTACGAGTTGGTTGCTGTCGCGCTAAATCACGAATTGGTAGAAGTTGGAATTCATGTAGTGGCCATTGAATCGGGTCCCAGTGGTTAAATGGTATACGAGCTTGCCTTGTAACCGGAAGGTCCTGGGTTCGAACCCCAGTGGGTGCGTACTGCCGATGATTCCCAAACTAGGCTGACGAAACAGCTGTCCAGTACTCCCTGGTTTTCAATGGTTCTTTAACTGATATCAATCGGTGATCAACTTGTAAAAATCAAAACATTTCATAAAGTGACCACGCATTTCAATTTTATACTAGATTATTGTAATTACATAACTTTCGAGATATTTTTTATGAGTTAGCAGCAGTAAAACTATGAATACTTTCTCCATTTCTTTTATTTCTTTACTGAAGCTTTCTTCAATCCTGCAGCCTTGTTTGGATGGAGATGACTGCGTGAATTTAGATGACTGGCAACAGGTATGAATTCAATGAATTTTATAAATTATTTGTAAGAAATAAATAAACAGCCACTAAGATATTTCTCAGATTTTCATTCCCATCTGGTTATTCATAATAAGATGTCGAATCTGTTCAAATCTCATGTATTTGTCTTTTTCATTAGGCTTTAGATTTACTATGGAGTGATCCTCAAGATAAAGATGGATGTCGACCAAATTGTTTTCGTGGAGCAGGATGTTATTTTGGTTCTGATGTCACTAAAAAGTTTCTGGAGACAACAAATCTCTCAATGATTATTCGATCACATGAATGCTGTATTGAAGGATGGCGTACATGTCATTCAGGGAAAGTGTTAACATTATTCTCATCATTTGATTATTTTGCATTACGCAGTAATAAAGGCGCATATGCTCGTATTACTGTTGTTGATTCCAATCAAACATTTCTAACTGATTTAAAGGCTGTTACATCACTTTGTCCAACATATAATCTGTCTAAAAATGACCTATCCGCACCAGTGGACATCTATGTCAATGTTTTCATTATTGATGATTCAGAAAGTCAGTTATCGAATAACAGTAAAACGTAAGATTGTAACATTTTAATTGTTGTAAATTATTTTTTTCTCAGCATATCATCAGCCTGTTCTGAAGTATTTTGATGCTCCTTAATGTTAACTCAATAATTGTCTTAAGCAGAAGTGAATCGCAAGTACTCTGAATATGAAAACAAAACACGTAGTTCAGCGAAGAGTCTCTTTTCGGCGAATTCATTTTCTTAGCTATACAATCACAAATATATATGCGTTATTTTGTATGTATGTGTACATTAAGTTTGTCAAACAAAAATACATTTCATTATGGATAAGATTTTATTTTTGATAAATCACACACTGTTGTACAGTAATATTAACTGATGACTTTTCAAGCAATAGTTTATGCTCGAAACGTCATCAGTTAATATTACTGTACAACACTGTGTGATTTATCAAAAAATAAAATCTTATCCATAATGGAGTTATGCTCTACCACAGTGCCCAAGTTTTATACTTATATCAAAAATACAATTTGTTATGGTTATTTCAACTAGACTGGTGAAGACTGGTAACTGGAGTTACGTAATAAAAAATCGGTCAAGAAAATTGGGTGTTAATGAAATTAGGGTAGTAACAAAGGTGATGAGTTGTCACAAATAGTTGTTAAAAGGAAGTTATGTAATAATATGAATAGTTTGATGATTGAGTTTTACTCAGGATACAAATAGGATGGATGACGCAACACCAACAAAAAAGTAGCGTTCGTCCACATTATGAAAAATCTCTAAAATTGATTTTGATCAACTTTTTTATTTGCTTGTGCTACCGGTAATGAATTTATAAATTCTGGAGTGTTTTTGATTAAGGAATATTCTGAAAAACAAAACTCTAGTTATTATTTTTTTCCTACGTTACAAATAAATAGTCATATCTGAAGCTTAATCAGTCCTTGATTTGCAAACTATACATCCAACTTTTATTGACAAAAATTCACCTTAAAATGTTTATCTGTTGAATAAAATGTCAATAATTCAGGTGAAGTGAGAGAAAAACTCCATTGAAATTTATATTTTCATGAAGAATTCAAAGCAAATATCTTTGATATTTGACCCTTTTATGTCTTCTCTACTTTATCATTTACTATCTTCTTTATTTTCAATTTCAGATCAGATGATTTAGTTAATACATCTTTTATCTGTTTATGGCAACGCATAATTCGTCGAAAAGAAAAACTTATGGAACGTTTCAGTGCAGTAGACCTTGAAAATTCAGGTGAGGATAAAGTTCTGCCTAGTTTCTCAATGCTCAGTTTTAGCACTACAAAGACGGTATTTAAACTGATTGAAATGTTTTTAAGCCAACTGATGGCACCGAAGTGAAGGTACTCCTAGAAATTGACCAAAATGAAGGAAGAAAATTGGTCACGTAATCATTATCGTCTGCATAATATCTAATTAACACTTCCTTATATGCAAAGGTGTGACTAAGTTTAAGCCGTTGTTTAGCTAGAATGAAAGTTAAGGTGATTCAGCGAATAATCAATTTTTATCATACAATCTACACTGCAAATCGGTAATGTATCAGAATGACCTAACATACTGGATGATGTATTGACTAGATTTTCAAACATTTAGTCGCATGTAATTCATGCAATGAAAAATACCCAGTGGTGTAAACTTGACTATCACTTCCTATTTTCTACTATGCCTGAGTAGATGATAAAACCAAAAGCATAGACTAGTATTCAGGTAAGTAATAGAATTCCTCAGACACAGCACTAAATTTTCAAAAAAAAAACAGTTTCTACAAATCTTCGCTACAGTTAATTTATATTAGCACTTAAATCACGAGGAGGCTATGTCAGATAATATTGTAGATTAAATATGGGCTTACTTTGATTGGACACTAGTAACTAGTGTGATGTGTCTAGTCCTTTGTTTGGTGCAGACTGAATTCTATCTCCTACAGGTTTGCAATGTAGCCACCATTTTAGGCAACTCACCATCACGATGCACTTTGAATTGTTGATCTAAGATGATCCAAGGCTTCCTGCCGATTGCCTCCAACCGACTAATATCAATAAATACAGGTGTATCAAAAATAAGACACGCGAAATTTATGTGCACCAAATACGTCCTCAATTTTCTCTCGTAGTATAATTCACTTCTTCACAGTAGTGATGAAACACAACAAGTAAATAAAGTAGATTAATTGCCGCCAAATGAAAAACTACTCAAACGTTATTTGTATCTTATAGATTGCAGTGGTGAGAAACAGTCCAATAATCTACTCTTAGGGTAACTAGTATAGCATGCTGATCGCTAAATAAAACTGTTCAACTGACATTTAGATACCCTTCAGTTCTCCATTATACACAACATTTCTGAACTTCTAAAAGTATATATCTGACCTGAAACAAGATGGAGCGGGGTAACCTGCCGCGTTAAACTAGCAAATCAGAAATAGTTTTCGACTTTTCCGGGTTCCGATAAAAGAGGAAAACCCATCATGAACTACAAATCTTCTCTATTATTTAAAAACAGCCATGTTTTATTTAGACAAAGTTTAAGCTTGCATAGTCATTCAGTGTATGTAGGCTGCCTTAGAAAAAAAACTGGAGCAAATTTGGTTGGTTCATTCGACTCTGCTTATCAGATATTCATTCCCCAAATTACCTAAGACTACTTAGATACATTTTACAGCCCGATGGAAGCTTTAATTCTTCTCTTAAAGCTTATATCTGCGTAGGTTTATCAAATGTTCTTACTGATATATCTCAATGGAAGGAGAACTCTACAAGTTTATTACCTTTCTAAAACCCGTATTGTTGATTAATTTTAGTTACTGCCTGAAATCAGTCTGTCAATTTGTAACTACTCTGTACTGCTATTTGATCTGTGATAGCAGGCGACATAGCTGTACAAATTTATCGCTTCCTTTAAGTGGGGAGCCGTACCAACTGATAACGGTTAACAGCTGGTAAAATACAGATGACGTGTGGTGCCGGAAAGATATCTGGTTGCCCATTGAAGATAAAGTGTATGATATTGTAATGTTACTTTCTTAGTATATAACCACGAAACGTAATCACTGGAGATTAAGGGCTTAAGAAAAATTCAGATAATTCCAAATAAATTGGTATACTGGATAAATCACATTCCAGGTGTTTTACTTCATGGTATCGTCTGCTTCCTAAGAGAATATCTTATCAATTTTGCAAACTTTTATATAGAATCTTAGAAGGAGGAAAGAAATCAGTTGATGAGATTGTAAATTTTTATCGAATGAGGTAACTGCGTTACAAATGTTGAACCCATACCCACCCTAAATTCCATTGTTAACCGGAGGAGAAATATGGTTAAGGAAAGAAATGGGTGATCAGACCAATATATAGCACCAATGCTGTTATTTTTCAACTGTTGATGTGTTACAAAAAGTTATGTCGACTAATGAGAATTAGACGAAACAAGTAAAACCTATGGATGGAAACTGAGGCGTTTGATTTAGAATAAGTCATGTTGGAACAAATGTATTCATATTTCATCTTCATTCAAATTTCAGCAATATTCTTCCGTATCGCTGTTATTTTCTCCTTGTTTCATTGTCTTGTGACTTCCACTGGAAGTATTTTAAGCTACTGTCTTCTTATTTTTACCTCCTGCATTAATCTATAGATATGAAGTAAGATAAGGTAGTCGCTGAGCCTTTATATAAATCTCCATGTCTGGTGATTAAACCAGATAAAAATTTCCTGTCTGTCTAAGCTTTACCTATCAAATTTTTTTTGTCTTATGGATAATTTCGACATGCCTAGGTCTTCATATTCGCCAAACTTAAAGTGTCACTGATATTCTCTCTCATTTCATTCCTTATTAACGACTACCCTACAATTTCAAATAAATTTGTATATGTTAAATATGGTTGCCTTAGCTACTCAATATGCTAAATAGCAATGTGAAACAAAAATAAATAATTTATGGGCAGCGCCTATTTATTTTATTCAAAGAGAAATAAAATGCAACAAAACTAAACGAAGCGGTACAGTGCTATCACATTTTAATATCAACCATATTTTGCATAATAGTGATATAAGTTACCCAGAACTAAGTGTTTATCCTCTTTTAATGGAGTTCACTTATAAAAATGAATTCGGTTTCAGTGAACTTTATACAAAAATCTCTATTGTTTATTGCTAAGGTAACTACCATATGGTAAAAAACTTTACTATCTGCAGGAATACTATGATATATACAATTTTTCCATGTAAAGAGTACTTATCGAGTTCGTTTCCCCTATAGGTTTGAATAATGGTAGGGATAGCTTCTTGAAAAGTAATGATAATAAGTTCAGCTGTATTTTAAGGACTTTTAGTTTTAAAAAAAGCAAGTGATAAATATAATTCACTGAAATAGATTTTTTTAGCTTAGTATGAGATGATGAATGAAAGAACCCTTGTTTCATTCCGAGACAAATAGGTAAATATTCTATAATAAGCTTTTGAAGGCTGACATACTGCTAACATCCTGAATTAACTCTTCATTTAAAAAAGAAATCGAGTTAGTCCAGGTGAGTTAAAACCACCTAGTAAAGTTACGTCTATTTACTTAATAGTTATCGAAAACAAACTTAAAACCTTCTTAACAGGAGTAAGTAATGAGCAGTTGTATTATCAAGTGATATGCTTCTCTGAATTCCAAATTATTGAGGAAACACCTTTCTGCCTGTTGCTTTTTGCCTTATGACTTGTGTTTTGGTAAAGGCAATTTGAAAGTTCCGTATAAACAGCACTTGTTAGCTACTGGATGTCTTAGAATGCAATTTATGCAATACGACTGAATAAGTTGAACATCCAAATACATCTTACTCCCTAAAGTATTCATTGATTCTCCCCGTACTTCCATATTGCCTGATGGCAAACTGTAGAATGATAAACCCCTTCTGAGCTCCTACATTGTCTCTTCTCTTAACAATGTCGATTACTGTCATAAAGGCATTCTGAAAGAGTAAAAAGCTTTCTATTTTTTATTTATTTACAAAAAGAAATTGCAATAAAGTATTCATCTCGATTATTCATTTCTAAAGTGTTACAACTGTATTTGTGTTCAACAGAAAATTCATTTAAGCCTATCAGATAATGTCAATATATTCCTGAAAGTGTTTTATCTAAGGAGACGAATAACCGGCAGGGTAATAAAATAGGTAGAAATAAGAAAACGGCGGCTGATATAATGCTATAGATGTGAAAATGACTTATAATTGTTCCCTCAGGTTCGAAGCGGAACACAGGACTTCAGCAGCACATTTCCGTTTCGTCTTGTTCTCTGTAGTCTTCTGTAGCTGTCTTCATAAGCTCTCATCTCTTTACACTATCTCCATGTTATCTCCAGACCCATCCCCAAGCTGTCATTTCACATTCAGGTTCCCCTCGTAGGGCTGGCAACTGATGTCTCCCGGTGGTCTTCTCAGCGCTTTTCCGATCCATCTCCATTTCCTCCTGCATATTTGTTGATTGATAGGTTCTTTGTCTATTTGTTGCCATAGTTCCCTGTTGTTTATTCTTTCTGGCCTTCCAGGTGATCTTCACTATGGAGCTGAGACAACTGTTGATAAAAGTCTGTAACCTGTTGGAAATGCTTTTTGTCACGCGTGCGCCAATTCTTTGAACCGTATAGAAGAACTGATTTGACAGTAGTGCTGAAAATCCTAATGTTACTCTTTTGCGCTGAGTGCAGAAGATTAACAAACTAATTTCGGCTTAGTGAGGGTCAGTCTTGCCTTCACTACCCTGCATCTGGCATCCTCATCCGTACCGCCTGCGATTGAAACAATGCTGCCCAAATAAGTGAGAGGAGTGACTTCGTCCAAATCTCTCCCACTGACGATGATTAGTGCTGTTTGTTGTTGCTGTTAGTTGGTTATCTTCATCACCTTCATCTTCTCTATGTTTACCTGAAGTGCTGTCTTCGCTGCCAGCCTATTCTGCCGGTTTGTTGGTTTTAGCCAGCAAGTCTTCGAGTTTGTGCGACAGTAACCAAACATTATCCGCGAAATCTGGATCTTCTAGAGTATTCTCATCGGTCTAACGTACTCCTGCATTCTAGCTTTTCACATTCTGTTGCATGATCCAGTCCACCACAATCAGCGATATCATCGCCGATAATAGGCAGCCTTGTCTTATTCCTGTCTTTACTTCAAAGGCTTCAGTGAATTTTCCACTATGGATTACTTGACATGTGGTACTATCATTTTGCTGTTGAATAAGGTTGGTAAGG